TAAAAACCCCAGGGTTTCTGCCAATCTGACCGTGGGAAATTCCTTCCCAATCTCAAATATGGGAATCAGTTAGACCGTGAGCATGTGGTCAAGACACCAGCCAGACACCTGGGAAAGAATGCTCTGTAGTAACTCAGAGTCCTCCCCATCTAGGGCCCCATCACCAGCTGTTGGAGATGATTGCTGCTAGCAGTTGCAGATCAGCTCCATGCCATTGTAGGCCTTCTCCTCGTACCATCCCCTCCATAAACTTATCAAACTCTGTCTTGAAGCCACTTGTTTTTTGCCTCCACTGCCCCAATTGGAAGGCTGTTCCAGAACTTTACTCCTCTGATGATTAGAAAACTTGGCCTAATTTCAAGCGTAAACTTGTTGATGGCCAGGTTATATCCATTTATTCTTGTGCTTATTCCACAATGGTGCTTAACTTAAATGACTCTTCCCTCTCCCTGGTATTTATAGAGAGCAATCATATCTGCCCTAAGCCTTCTTTTGGTTTGGTTTGGTTAAACAAGCTGCTCCTGTCTGTTTCTGATAAGTCTTTCAATGGTTCCCCAGCTACGCCCCAAGATTTTCAGCTCGGCTTCCACAGCTCTTCATCATGTTTTTTTGGGCAGCCTCATTTTTGCTTGCCTTCAAGTGTCCATCTTATTGCTACTCTAGTGATGGAATCATTTTCCATCCGAAGCATATGGCCAATCCATCTCCAACGCCTCCTGGCAATGACAGCGCTCATTACTGGGGGAGCTTTGTTGCTGCCCTAAACACCAGAGGCGTAATGGGAACATGATGATGATGAAACAAGCCAAGCTCATTGAGTTTCCTCTCCTAAGGTAGGTTTTCCATTCCTTGGATCATCCTAGTAGCTGTTCTCTGCACCTGTTCCAGTTTGAATTCATCTTTCTTAAAAGAGGAGACCAGAATTGCACACACTATTCCAGATGAAGTCTCACCAATGTCTTGCATAATGGTACTAACAGTTCCCGGTCTCTACTGGAAATACCTCATCTGATGTATTTTAGGACTACATTAGCCTTTTTTCACAGCCACATCACCTTGGCAACTCAGTCATCCTGTGATCAACCAACACACCAATGTCTCTCTCCTCCATCACTTCCAACTGTCATCCCCATCTTATAGCAAAAAGATTTGTTAGTCCTTAAGTGCATGACCTTGCAGTTTGCACTATTAAATTTCATCCTATTTCTATTTCTCCAGTTTTCAAGGTCACCCAGATTTTCTTGTATGATATTCTGGTCCTCCTCCATATTGGCAATACCTCCCAACTTTGTGTCATCTGCAAATTTTATTAGCACACTCCTGCTTTTTGTGGCAAGTCAATAATAAAAATGGGCCCCAAGACCTTCCCTGAAGAATTCCACTAGTAACCTCCCTCCAGCCTGACAGGTCATCTTTCAGTATGACGCACTGAAATCTCCCCTTTAACCAGTTCCTTATCCAACTTTCAATTCTCATATTAATCCCCATCTTCTCCAATTTAATTATTTTGCCATGTGGAACGGTCTCAAATACCTTACTAAAATCCAGATAAAGGAAATGTAGAAGATTTAATATCTAAAAAAAGCACTTATCTTCTCAAAGGTGATCAGGTTGGTCTGGCACAATCTACCTTTTGAAAAGGCATATTGTATTTTATCCCAATCACCATTCCCGGTGATTGGGATAAAATTCCCAATCTCTATGTCCTTAACTACTTTATCTTTCCAAATTTGTTCCAAGACCTTGCACATAATTGAGGTCAAGTTAACAGGCCTGTAGTTGCCTGGATTACTCCCTCCCCCTCCTTTTTCTTAAAAAGAGCAAATATATTAGCAATTCTCCTGTCATAGGGAGTTTACAGATTCATTAAAATTCCTTGCTCTTGGATTTGTATGGCACATAAACACAAGCATGCATAGCCTCAAAGACACTATGAAAAATAAGATCTGGTTACGTGCACGAGTGGTTACAGTGGGATCCATACGGATGTCAACATCTTAAACTACACTTGGTAGTAACCATACTCTGATCTTTCAGCTACAAAATGCCTGCTCTAAAGATAATCATTGGGAATATGAACCTACTAAGACACTCCCTCTCCTCTGCATTATCCGTTGCACCCCAAATTTGGGATGTTGGTACCCTAACAGTAAATGGTATTGTAACCAACAGGAAAGCAGAACTTTATTTTGAATATTTCTTTAGGGCTAGAATATACAAACAGATCACATTTTAAACTCCTTTGTTGTACTGAAATCTTGACTGTACGCGGAGTAAATTTTATGATCCTCTGGCTGGTTATTTGAAGCTTTTGAATGTAACATCTGACATTTATTTTGTAGACAACTCTATGGAAGGTAATTGCTACTTTAATTACTAAATTAGGAATACAGATGGAAAGAAGAGTATTATCTTTGCTTGTGGTCACTGTAAGCTCAAATCCTTCATTCTGGGGTATATTTTTTCAGATGCCATAAAAAGCCCCTGGTGGCAAGCCAGCTTCCTGCTTAAAAAATATGGCTATTTGTGGTATGGGTTTAGTGGGTTCACAACTTGCCTTCTTTTGTCTTGGTTTTTAAGACCTCTTTATGGAGCTTCTCAATTTAGACAGCAGCTAGAAAGTACAAGACCTTTATGAAGACTTGGGCTTCACAAAGGGCAGTTGAGTTCCTATTCTCCCTGTTTTATTTCTTTGATGTTTTGATCACATCCCTACAGCTATGTTACTTTCATAAAAATCAAAGTAAGACACAGCAATTCTTAAATACACTTTTGTATTTAAACATTTGAAACAAATGGATTAAAATTAATTCCTAAACTTCAGCTAGGCAAAGGCTTGTTTTGTTTTTCCACAAACATAGTAAATTTTAACTCCATGAGGCAGCATAATCTAGTAGTTAGAACATGGTGCAGAGAACCATGACTTCCTGGGCTATATTTCTGACTACCTCAGTCCTGCTGAGGGAGTTTGCACAAGTCACCATTTTTTTCTGTGCTTTGTTTCTTTATCTGTCAAATACATATATTTAACTACACCACAAGAGCATTGTGAAACTTCGCAATCTTTAGATGAAGGGTCATGTCGAGCTGCCAAGTATTAGTTTAACAAAAATAAAGACAAAAATAAAAACTTGATAGTGCTGAAAGTCAAAGCACTACTTTTTAATCTTTGTAGGTCCAGATCCTAAAAAGTGAAACATGCCAATCTAGGAACTATCTAAAAAATCATATACGCACTACAATACTATATTTGTTTGTCACCAGAAAAGACCAGATGTCATCACTGAACAAAAAGGGCTCACTAACACATCCGACTCTCCATCTGAACAGAAAGGAGTGTACCAGTAATGATTGCATAGTTAAGACTCCAAAATTTGTAGCAGAGCCTACAGCCGCCTAATTCCAGATCCCCCCAAAATGTCCCCAGTTGTCAAAGGTTGTTGCAACAGTAGTGACTCTGGCTCAAGAATCAAGAAGGTTTATGAAATGCTAGCAATTTTACAATAAAATACTATTTCCTATATAGCTTTTCTATATTAGCTGTGTTAATTATGAAGTCTTTTAAAAACAAAGCAAACAGGAAGGGTGAGGCATTTTGAGTTATCCCCAAAATTTTTTCTAAATTAGCAACTCAATTTCATTCACTAAATGACATTTACCAACTTAATTCAGCAGTGCTGTCCAAATAAATCCCAATTAAGCAACAATTCTGCTTTTATTCTGATTAAACAGTAGTCATGTCTGTTCACTGAGGGCCATACACTCTACAAGAATTGCTTGGTTCTCTACCACAATTAAGGGACAGTACAGTATAGCTTAAGTAATGTCTTTATTTAAACAATACTATTTCATAATATACCTGTCTTATCTTCTTTAGTAATAAAAACCAAAAATGGATGCCCTTAACTATGCCAGGGTACTATTATACTGCACACTTCTTTTCATGGTGTGTAGTGTACAGACCCATGTAACCCCCTCCAGGTATAAACAGCAATGGAGACAGTGAGGCACAGCTTAGGCAAGTAAAGACACACCTGAAGGGAGTACATACTTGAGTGTGTGGGGCTGTGGGCCATGTAGGATATGTACTCCACTACATACCTGCGCCCTTCAGACTTGTCTTTACTCTGCTTGCCTAAACCATGCCTCAACAGATACATTGCTATTTGTAGCAATGTAGCCTCCAGCTGCCTGCCCTCTGCTGAAGCCCTTCCCCGCACTGCAGGAAATTAGCTAATGTGGATCTTAGATATTCTACTTGGTTTTTTTCAGTAGTGGTTAGATATATGAATAAACATGGCAAAAGAATGTTGCTTAAGTGCTATACTACATTTAAAGCCAATTATCTATTCTCTCATTAAGACTCGACTGGATCTAGAAGAATTTGTTCATGGAGACATTTAGTGTTTTGTGGTTGCACAGCCTATGTACAGTACACCCTCGCTATAATGCCCTTCATTATTACAAACCTTCCAGCTATAACGTAGCAGTCCCTGGATCCCAACTACAGTACAGTACTGTAAAAAAAAGGATGTTGCACATGCATGCACAATTTTTCTGTGGCATCATATGTTAAGCCCAAGGACAGAAACTAAGGAGTGGGCCCACATCCAGCCTCCCAGGGCTGAAGCGGAAGCCCTGCTGCGGCAGGGGCCGACAGCCTGACCCTTGTTACCATGGCTCAAGGTGCAGAGATCACCTAAAATCACCTTCTGTGACCAACTCCAAGCCTTAAGTATCATTATTATTTTATTAATTAAGCTAACTCCTTTATCTAAGGCAACTTCATTAACTTACTCCAGCAGTTTCGTTCCTTTGATTGTCCTTTTGCTATACAGAACCCCTGGCCCTAACAAAAAGGCATGGATCCCAACAGGTTTGTTATAGTGAGAGTGTACTGTGGTAATAGGTAAGTGTGCCAACAAAAGCATTACAAACATTACATGACCACACAATATTATAGTGAGAGAAACATAAATCCATCTTTTTATTGCTGTCAGGTGCTGCTTTAAGCATGACTGCTGCTACAGTAAAGCAGAGCAAGCAGGCTGTAAGCCCAAGATAGAGAGCTATAACTGGGAATGTGAAGACAATGCTGCTGTGTGTGGTGAGTAATTACCTCTATTCCCTTTCTGGCACATGTCCATGGAAGACCACCACAATGCCAGTCTGCCACTTGTAACTTCCTTATTTTGTCCTTCTTCCTTTATTTTTGGCCCTTCTTTCTTTGCACCATTTCTATTAACGCTCCTAAATTTGTTCACCTCTAAAGTTTTAGCTTCAGTGAGATTCAAAATAACCACAGCTTTAAAGTGGGGGATCACAAACTGATGATTTTTCTATGACTGGGTATACATATCCGATCTTTTATGTACAGCAATACAAGGCAACTTTAAAAAGTTAATCGCCAATCACACACAATTTGCATTCTGTCATGCTGCTACAACCACACTATGCTACACTGCTATGGTCACAAATGGAATCTTCGTCATCAAGATAGCCACTGCCAACAGTAGACTCAGAAACTGAAGTACTTTCAAATGCATCTTACAATTTGGGATGACTGTCATTTCTATACACTTTAGTACAGTGATTCTGCAACTTTTCCATTCTTTGCCTACTTTTCCCCCCCCCCCAAAAAACAAAACACACACACACACCCTTCATAAGCCATCTTTCCTCCCAGCTACTAGTTCCTTGCTGCTGGGTTCCCAAAATGTTTCATAGAATCATAGAATATAAGGGTTGGAAGGGACCCCAGAAGGTCATCTAGCCCAACCCCCTGCTCGAAGCAGGACCAAATCCCAGTTTCACACTGCAGCCTAATGGGAAAGGCTCCACTTAGTCATAGCTATAATTTATGAACCACTGCTTTAGTATATGTAATAATGCGCTACTTTACATATGGGGAGCAACATGTCCACAGGCCACACAAAAAACGCACTCTCTTTTTGAAAATATGTAGAAATTCATACTTCAGAATTCCTTGGGTCATTATTTTCTTGCTCACAGCATCTTGATAATGTGTTTTTTCTCCTGTAAGATTTAATCTACAATACATTTGCCAAACTATGGGAGGGGAGAAGGGGAATGCTAAGTAATGACATGACCAGCTGGAAAAACCATGTAAAATTAAGAAAAGCAAAACAATCTGGTTATACAATAGCTACAGTCTGTCAAATTGATCAAGTACTCATTTCCTAAATTAATGCATCAGGCCCCTACAGAAAAATCTCCCCTAGAAGTCAGGATAGGAATTCATTGAGCCCTAAAATTTGGATAAGGAAAACTAATGTGAAAGAGGAACTACATGGGATTCACATTTAGAATATGCATGCTCAACAAAAATGCTGCTTAAACAATTTTTTTCAATGCACCAGAGTTTCAGCTGTAAGCTTTAACATACCTTCAAGAGGCAGAATAGAACTGTGAGTACTGTTCAAGTTTCCTTCTCTCAGAAGGAAGTCAAATTATTTCCCTTCAGCCTCAAGAAATATCTTTAGTGGAGAGCCAGAAACAAAGATTGAAATATGGGAACTAAAGTTATGTTATTTATACAGAATTTTTCTCAGATTAAATCAAAAGTAATGAAATTAGAAATCAAAGACTTCACTCAGATTGACAGCACACAATAAGATTCAGAGTGGAAAGATTTTGCTGTAATTATGACTTAAATGTTTTGAGTGGGGAGGGAGGTTTTCTGTATAACTTCCCTCTCAATTTTACAACAGTAGCCAAACATTACAATGTAAATTGTCTCAGTAATTCTGCAATGTGTATGGTATAACTCCTACAGCCACAATTATTTTATGTATTATTTGTTAAATCTTTACTGTCCTCTCTCCCCATCTCTACCTAGTTTACTGATGAATATCTTAATTGCAGTTACTTTGAAAACTACTTAATTTAAAGAAGTCAATCTTGGAGGTCATTAATCCTTCCTGAAGACTTTCACCAAGTTTTTATACCTGCTAATAGTGATTCCAATCACTGAAAAGAGCATGTGTGTTGATTCTTACCATTATTATTGCTACCAACTTAATTTGATACACCTAGAGGGAAGCATGCTTTGCCATTATACACCTGACGCCACTGTAGATTAGAGAAGATTATGTTCTTCTATTTATGTAGCTAAATTTTGACACAAAATTGGTTTCTGGTTTCAAGAGTGAAGATTGGGAAATGGGGGAGACCTTTCTAATACCAAGTATACAGACTACAGAGACTGGAAGTTAACAGATAGTAATTTGTTTAATATCCCTGTCCAGAGTCAGTAACTTGTTCCTATCTTTTAGCTTTCCACCTTTCATTTGGTCACCTGACCTCCTATTTTTATAACTGTGCAGAGAATAGTAAAGCAAAACAGAAGCTGAAGAGGTTATTCTGTGATTAAGTTTACAAAAAGAAGGAAGGATTAAGCCCACAAAAGTTGTAAACTTAGTATTCGTGGTCTCAGCAAGTTTAATTCTCCCTGCTTAAACTAAGTTGTTCATTACAAGATTACATAAAACTGGGCAACACAAAATGTTGTAGTATTTGACAAATTTTAAGACAAAAGTTACTCACGTGTAATTGTAGTTCCAACTGTATTGCTGCTGCAGAGGTAAACCCTGGGAGCAAAAACCCTGAAGCCATCTAGAAAGCAATTACTGTTGGCACCACACAAAAATATGGACACTGATATGAAACAGGAAGTTGTCTTGCCAGTAGGTTTCTTACTGTCACTTACTCCTTCTTACAAATATGATATTTAGCCAATAGAAAGGGCACATTTTGAACTTAATTTGTTTTGCTCAGGTGCGTTTGAGAATTAGTTTTAGTCTAGCATATTTAAATGCATGTAATGCTGCATTGGGGGACATGTCTAGATTATGACAATAGGTCATGTTTAAGATGCACTATTTTAAAGTTATTAACCAACTAGTGCTTGTGATCAATTTTAGGTGTCCGTGGACTTATCACTTTTTTTTAAAAAAAGGCGTTAAACCATTTCTACACTAGGATTACAAATGTTAACCAACACATTTTAACCATTTTAAAAAAAATATGGTCTAAAGGCAGCCTTCTAGTAACAGCCAAAATAAGTTAACTGCATGCTCGTGATATACAAAGTATTAAATTTAGGGTGCCTGACATGCCAGAAAGGAGGCAAAGTTTGGGGTGGGGGAGGGAAAGGGAGAGTGCTGTTCTGCATTCTTCTCATTTAAGATCTTGTCTATTCTACAGATGTAACCTGCTCTGAGATCTAACATGGTTATGTTTCAAGCACAGTTCCATTTCATAGCATGGACTAGATCTTAACTGTTACTGTGCCAACAGCTGGGAGCGATTCAGGGACAGAGTTAAAGATCCACTCTATGCTTCTCAATTCAACTTTGATTTAACAGTGTCAGAAGCCACCTGATATAAGTAGGTCCTCCAAGACTGTTGTACTTGCTCTCTACAGGTCACTGTATACTACAAATACCTGATCAAATACCAGAGTTGGAGAAAATAAAAAGACCATGTTACTGCAACATGACAGTTACAAACAAAACCTTTGTGAAAGACACAGGAAACAAGTTTTTGTAAGGTTAAATTGCACCTTACACACTATATTCAATAGCCTATTTAACAAGTCATATTGTATAAATGAGTGAGTTAAGTTTACTGTAGAAGTCTAACACCTTTGCAACTCAATTTTATAGTACATAAGTCTAACTTTTAATGTTGCATCTTTTACAAGGGCATTCATTCTCTGTATGTATTTAAGAGCCACTTCTCTCACACAGTTCTGACTAGAGCAGAGGGAGGATACAAAACAATTACCATTACTTCTTTCTGAAGAGGAGTTAAACTAATAAAATCCCTCCATTTTGTAAGCATCAGAGGATTAAAAGGTAACTCTTCACTGAGGGTTTATTCCTCCCAACACAATTAGCAGAACTAATTTCTCAGCTAAAATGAGCTCTGCAGATGGGATTGCTCACAAATCCCCTCTCCTCTCCTCCCACTATCTCCATCTGCTGGGAGGTATCATCATCATCTAGGTTCAGTCTAGCCCAGTAATTTGGGAGAATTCTGGTTTACTATTAATCAAGTACCGCACAAAATTTCAAAATATGTAAAGAACAGTAGAGGAGGAAAGAAATCACAATTGGTTAAAATAAAAGGCTTGTTATAAAAATTAAGATGTTACAATTTATACAGGAATAAACTAACATTCAGGACAATTTTCTGAATACTACATTTACTGCTTACTGTTACCATTTGATGTCCTTTAATTACTTTAAGAACCATTTGTACTTTGTTTTCATTGTCTTTTCCAGATTCACTAGAAGACAAATGCCAAAAAATAGTGTGTGAATGTGACCGCAAAGCTGCCAAGTGTTTGGCTAAAGCCCCTTATTACCCAAGGTACATTTTCTGGCCAGATTTTGTATGTGGTGACAATCACCCAAAGTGTAAGTTTTAGTGAAACAGGAGGACACTACTCTAATATTTATAAAAATCTGTATGTGCTTTTGAATTTAAAAAATAAAATTTCTCCCATCAAAAAGGATAGTGGTGATTGATTTTTTCCAACAATGTTTGTGCATGCCTAGTTTTCATAATGCATAAGCTAAAAGAAAATTTAGTGGTTCTTAACAGCTGGGAAACCGTAGCAGCTTTCGCGGACTAAATATAAGAACAATTTTATCAGAGATTACTAATAGTGTGTGAACCTTTATCATCACAAGCAGCAATGGAATGTTAACTATGGGAAAAGCCTCTAGAACACCAGCTTTCACAATCGTTATTCACTGCAAGCTACTCATTATCTATCACCCACATATGCAAAACAGCATGTAGGGCTGGAGTGAAAACCTCCACTTTTAAATTTCATTTGAATCCTGAAGCTAGAATTTTATAATTAGATTTAGCCAAGGGAAAGGCACACTCAGAGTGACACTGTCAACTTAAGGAAGGGCTTTTAACCTTTGTTATTAGCAACACTTTTGATAACCAACAATAGTTTACTATTCACTAAATCATTAAAGTTTTAAATTTCACTTGGCCTAGGCAACACAATGACTATTTAGCTTCACTGTCTTGTTCAGTTGCTTTAGTATTTAAATAATTAATAATAATAATAAAAAGACATTAAGTCACTGACTGTTAAGTTTGCGTCAAACCCTAGTCCCTTTGTACAACTTGAGTCGGAATCCCATAGAGACTAAGGAAAGGAAATCCTGCCTGCCTCCCACATTCCCAGATATAGAGCAGCAACACAGATACTAGCGTGGCCTCTAGGCTGCAGTAGCTCCATGGTCGCAAGCTGGAGCCTCATTCCACAAACGTAGAGGAGATGAGTGGTTAAGCCACTAGGACCCATCTCTCTACCCCAAAGTGTGTTGAACCAGAGGAAGTCTCCAAAGACCACAGCTCCACGATATGGATTCCCATATTCTGTCCTCCCTTTTACACAAAGAGGGTCCTGACTCAACACGCAGGGCACAGGATCTATATACTACAATACTCAGAAGAGAACGGTTTTGCTTTACAGGAATGTAAAGCTGGGTTGCACTGTTAGGTAAGCAAACTTTAAAGTTTTTGGGCTTCTCTTCAGAAAAGCTTCAAATTAATGAGTACTGTACAATGAATTTTTTTCATAACTAATTGTGAACATCCACGTTTTCTGAAAAACAAAAATCTTGTGTCCATTGTGATGTCTAACTTTAAGCCAGCAGATTTGCTAAAAGTTATTGGTTAATTACAGTACAAAGGAAATGTCAAGAGCTTTGACAAGAAAAAAATTTAAAGGTAAATTTGATCCTTTAATTTAAAGGAAGACAAAGATTTAGAAAAAAAATCTTTAATTTTGTCCAACTTTTAAAAGTATTCATATGCAAATCTGGAATTCATTAATAGTATGATACAAATGCAAACTCAACAAGATGAGATTCATTAGTACAAAGTATTTTAAGAACAAAAGTTAACTTTTGTTTCTCTCAAACACCACAAAAACAAAATGGCAACCTGGTCGGGCTTTTATACAAAATAAATCACTTCTCATTTGGTATTTACAGATACAGGTCTTGCTACATACATAAGACTACAATAAGCTATTACAGTATCATGGCCACTTTACCAGATTAATACTGTGAGAGGTATCTGAATTCATTTAAGAAATTAGCAAATAAAAATTGCTTTAGGAGAGGAAGCACTAAGTCAGCTCTGACTGATAAAAATTAACTGGCCTGAATAAAACAGCTTAAGTCATGCCAATCATGTTTGCCAATTATAAAAGGTGTGTGATACAAAGAAAACTAAGTGTTATACAGTTGGAATAGAGGGAATTTTAAAATGAGCACTATTAGCAAATGTTTATAAATATATGGGTTTGTCTGTAGCATCCTAGCATGTAAAGAGGAGTCAAAAAGCCTCAAGTATTTTCAATATTAAACCAATTAAAGCGATTGTCCAAAAGTGCCCTTCTGGCAAGTTTTGAACAACATGTAACTGTCAGGAAATGTTAAGTTACAAATAGCACACCAGTCAGTTTTTACTATTTAGAAGATATTGAGTGTAAAGGCCCTAACAACTTGGCATCAGCCAGATTTCACAAGAGTGGTATTATAGTCTGATTTTTATAGTTAGCCAAAAATCAAATGGCATGACTACAGCAACTTTAAAAGGCCCATTCAAGAATACAATATCCTCCTCATCTATGGCAATGGTACATAAAACAAAGCCTACCGTGAGGGTTATGATACCTACTGCTTCAAAATGGACTTACCTCAAGGCAATTTTTTTTTAAATTAACAAAATGAGCATTTTTTCAATCACCACAAAGGAAGCAAGCAAAGAAAGCAATTTGTTTTTCTTTCAGATGTCTGATTTCAGACATTTGGACAGCTTAGGTATTCAATTCCTAAGAAAAAGATTCAATGTCAAATCACAGCACTTGTGTTTCCAGACGTCGTACTTCTTTTACCACAAGATCAATATTTATAATTGGGTTAAAGTACAAGGCCCAGTAAAACAGACAGTTGCAGACAAACTGAGGAATAAGGGGCCAAAAGATAGCAACAAAAAGACCCTGGGTTGACACTTTCCAGAAATGGCTCCACATTCTCTGAGGGATAGTCCTGAAAAAAGGAGAGCAAGAGAATCATCTTTCTATAGACAAGGTATTCTAGACATTGCTATTAAAACAAATGAATGAAGAAAAATATCTATGAGTGATCATTACAACATTCATTCAATTTGTGAGATGCCACCTAGTCTACCGTATTCTCACTAATTGCATCCTATAATTCCAAAGGATGCCTTGCAGGTGTAGCTCCTGTCCGGGCCTACTCACAGATAAAATACTGCTATTGAGCCACAAGAATTCAGTAGTTTGTAGCAGGTTAAGATAATTGCTTAAATGAAGAAAAAAATTATGTGGATTGTTCTCCACAAAGCCTACTCTGCCCTCCAGTAGTAGAAAGATAACAAAAACATATTGTCAAAACATTAACCCTCTTTTTGCCCATCCCCTCCAAGCACAGCATGAAAGTAGACACTTATCATTGCTCATTTTTATTCTAATAAAGGAATACTGATGCCCTTCGTTTTGGAGGACAAGCTAGAATAGTGCGTGGTAAACAGTAATTCTTTCCACTCTCTAGCTCTGTAAAAGGTGTTGAACATCTTAAGTGAAGCCTTAATAAATACCAGTAATCTAAATTTGAGAAAAAAAATAGCAATTCTTTGTAAGTAAACATCTTCCAAGGACTACTGTACTATACTGAATTTCCAAGCCAATTAGACTGCCTTAATTTGCATTGGATCTTTAGCATATGCTCCATACATTAAGATTGCCATAAAAGAAACCTGAAGCTTTTTCCTGGAGAATTAACATTAGTGAATTTATGAAAAGCAGTAGTATGTATAGTACTAGTATTCAGAGTCAACAGATGTACTAATTAAAAGTCACTCAAATGTCTGTAAGTAAAATAGCAATTACATTATTCACCAACTGTGGTATACACTGATTCTGTGGGCAAATTCATCTAATACTTATTCACCCTGATGGTGCTGTTTCAACATGGTCATTTTAATTGTCAAATTACAAAAATAACCAATTGTCACCATTTATCCCTGGCCACACACACACACTCTTCAACAGCAACCATAAGAAATTGAAACAATCTGAGCATGACTTACTTCAGTTCCCTTCTTGACCAGAGCCTCCAAAAGGAGAATAACTCCAGAACAGAGAGCAACATGGCATTAACAATGATAAATCGTGATGTCCAGTAGTGTATCTCCAACCAATCCCAAGCAAATTCAGCTATTAACTGATATGGCAAAAATGAATACTTAACAATGAATTCTCTCCACTGTTTCCAAGTAGGATCCTTAAGGTCCTAAGGGGAAAAAATTAAAATCAATGGTCAAATTAACTACATACTAGTTGAGTTTACCTTTCATTGCTTTATGGCTTTTCCTTCATTGAAGGAAGTACCTTTGCTTCACTAAAATTTTGCTAGCTAGTTAAACTAAAATTAAAATTTCCATCACACAAGTTTTTAAGTGAGGGTGCAAATAAGCAAGTATACTCTATGAACAAGCACCAGTTGCAGATATGAGTGAGATTCCTTTCAATGAGTACTAATCGCTGAAGTGATTAGGAAATTAAAGAAAGTCTTCATTATACTGGAATTAATGATTGAGTATGTGTGTAAGCAATTTAAGAGTTTAAAAACACAAGATTATAGAAAGGACACTGACATTTTAAATCCAGGAAAGTCAATCTTTTAAAAATATACAGAAGAAGTGCACAGGAACTGCCATATCAGATTAGACAAATGATCACAGTTGCCAACTCACACGGTAAATAAGCACCCTGACTTTCACAATAAACCAAAAATCAAGCTAATCCCGTTTCAAAACAAGGCCAAAACAAGCCAATCCCCAAGAACCCCAACACTCTATGTGATTAGATCCTCTGGCATGCAATCTGGGACTGTGGTGGGCCTGCTGTGCACTCCTGACTCTCTCCCCCTTGCCGGGCGCCAAATAAGCAACAAGCCAAAAAACTAGCCAACAAGCAAATTAAGCCAAAAACAAGCCCAATTTCTGCATTTTTTTCATGGGTTTGGCATGTCTGCAAATGATCCACCTATTCCACAGTCTAGTTTCTAGTAGTGGCCAGCAACAGATGTTTCAAAGGAAGGAGTAAGAAAGCCTTTGACAGGTAGTTACAAAAATAAACTTGCCCTTAAGGAAACCTTTTTCTTAACTAGTGCCAGAAATTGGTTCATGTCCTGAAACCATGAGGGTTTATTCTCATTTTCCATATCAATATTGAATCCTAATGAAAGCCTCAACTTTGCCCCTGTAATGACTCAAGCCTCCTTTCTTCTCTTTATGCCTATTTGATTGGATGTATTGATTTAGAATTAAGAACTGATATTGTATTCTCAATAATAAAAGTTTCACAGAAACTAAAGACAGTTAACAATTGCACAGTGACATGTGCCTCAGCAGAGTTTAGGTCACTGCTTCCCTGTGAAATCCATCTCTCTCATCCACATGGGATTACACGTCAACATTCTCAAATAGTGGAGCCTACAGATAAGCACCTACATTAATATTTAGGCTAATAAAATAAGCGATTTTCAAAGATGAGCACCCACAACTGCTGCCCACATCAATGGGAGCTGCAGGTGCTCAGCATTCTTCAACTCAGGCCACATATTTAGGTTATTATAGGTGGGGATAGTGACACCTATGATTAAAGTGTTGGACAACCTTCCGTTAGTCTAATTTATCAATCCTTATGGTTAAAGTTCTGCTTAAGGCTGAACGGTTCAGCCATTTTCAAGGACAAGGTTAGGAAAAACTTTTTTTTTTTTTAAATATTGGTGAAAAAAAACAACACCACACAACTTAGAGCCTTTTACTGAAAGGAGTTATAACATCTTCATATCTTGGGACAGGAACCTGCAATTTGACATCATGGTCATCCTGGCATCACAGAAGTGCTGTTTATCATCCCCAAGAAAATCTTAATTTGGCTAAGTTACAAGCCTCTGAACAATTGCTATTTGCACACTCAGAAAAGGCTTGCTGTGGTTTGGGGACCAAGTTCTCCAAACACTCCTTTTGAATTGGAGTATGCTCCAGCCCAGGGCTGCAGGGCTAGGAATGACTTGCCTGCAGCTTCTGCTCGTAACTGAGCACAGACTTAGTGTATGGCTACACTAGAACATTTAATTACTGGTTGAGCTGATCCCCTAAAAATAGAAATGTAGGCACAGCAACATGAGGGGCTGACTTCCCCAAATACAATCCCCTCTGAGACCCTAAACATGAACAAGGGCCAGCTAGACCTTTTGCCACATATGCAGCTGAGGCTACACTTCTGTTTTTAGTGCACTAGCTTGGGTACGTCTCCTCAAGCTGGTAGTACACTTTCCATCTCCAGAAAAAAAAAAGACATACCCACAGTCTTTCCTCTGCCCTCAGTACTCACCCTGGTGGGGCCCAGGCAGCACAGAGGAGGAACAGCCTGGCTTGAATGCAGAGAATTGAATAGGGGGCATGTGACGGAACAGATCAGTAACCAAGTCCTGAACCTTCGATGTTGCTATAGAATTAAACTACATTAGCTGGCAGCAGCAGGCTGTTATCAGAGAGTGGGGAAGTAGTAAGTATTTTAAATGTGAATAGGCATTTATGTTAACAGCTTGTCCGAACAGTTTCAAAATTTTGTCAGAAAAGGATGCTCACAGGCCAAATTTGAAGTGGAAGACATTTGAGGATTTAAAAGAGGGGTGAAGGGACACAGAAATAAAATGGAACTGTGCTTACAGACAGAAGACAACATTAAGGAGTGGTTGTTGCCATTGCAGGCTTCATTATAAATAAAATGGTTTTGGACAAAACCATTCCTTAAATTCTTAGAGTTATAAAATAGATTTTATCCAGTATGCTAGGTAAACATCTCATGTTTTTAAAGTAATCAGCTATTTAGAAAAATACACAGGAACCTTCAGATGAGATTTCTTTTAAAGTGCAAGCCATATGTGTTAAAAAAAGAGAGTAGTTAACATAAAACTGATCTTTAAATACGTTCATTTGTTACTGTAGTGCCCTCATAAATTACAATGATTACTCCAATTCAGACTAAGATTTACATTTTGTAACGACAAGTTTACACATATTCCAAGACCAGTAGAAGGTTTTTCTTTAAGCTCTAGTGGAAAGTTTTAAAAACAGACATTCCTTTGAAAAACTGACACCCAAACATTTAAACAGTAAAGCCTGAGTATGAAACTAACAATTGTTTTAAGCTGTCTAAGATGTCAAATACAAAAAGAAAAGCCAAGGGAAGAGATTAGATTTCTGAACTCTTGCACTTTTCAAATATAATTAGTAATATACATAATTTAACTAGACATTTTCACTGTATGTGCTTTCACAAGGTTTGCTCTTAAAAGTAGAAGTCCATATGAACAGATGCACTGCCTTTCCATTTCTGGGCAAGGAATCCCTTGGTACGTCTCGTTTAATTTACCATTGATTAACACACAATCTATACATGGAAACAATTTTTTTTTTTTTTTTTTTTTTAAAACCTGACCATCTATAACTGCCAAACAGTAACCAATTAAAAACAGGGCGTTCTAAATGGGAAGTGCTGGGCAACTTTAATAGCTGTTACACTATCAACACCCTACACAATAAGCTTGAGGATGAAGCTTACTTTGCAGGGAAGTTTTTGTTTTTGTTTTAAGAAAAGCTTTTATTATAAGATAAGAATTGTAAGCAATGTGCTATGCATATTTGAAAAATAAATTTTAAACACAAATGCTTCAATTTAAAGCAATTGGCATAATGATAAATGTTTTAAACACCTACTAATAGTTTTGTGATAATATCTTCATATTCATCTTCTTGCACAGGACATATTGTGTAGATGAATGGTAGAAATATTTCTGTGTAATCAAACAAGTATAGATACAACATACTGAGTCTTGGAGAGCTCTTTAGTGCATATAGCAAGAAGAGTGACTTTCCTGGATTTACTGCCTGAAATGAATCAGAAGGTTAACAGTGAGACATACTATTATGAGAAGTCAGCTTTAGACTTTTCTGAAGTATGTTTATTTTGCTTTACACAATCATCAATGAAAATCATTTAGCATTTACAAATGTTACAGAAATCACCTTTTTTAAAAATCATTAGTTTTTAAACTTAACAGTTTGCACACAGACTACTTCCTTGCCTTGCTCTCTTTGAACTTGATGATTTTCTGGGCTTTTGTTCTGCAATATGCAACAGTACTGTTACAGTTGCATCCATTGCCATACCAGTCACATGAATCCTGTTTTTCATTCACCTTTGAGAGTTTTCATTCACATTATCCCTTGCATTGTACTCAGACACTTATTGATCCCATTCTAAAGAACTGGATGTTTCTTCGTAGTTGCATAAATAGTCTTTGAAAATATCTATTCCAAGTGACACGATTCACTACTTTATCAAATTTACCTTGTATTCCCAAAGGTTCTGTGGTGGTTTAACTCCCAATGTTTTCACACGTTCCAATTCCATTATAATGGCTTTTCTATGGCTACTGTTCTCTATATGATAAGGAGTTTTTGTGAAATCTTCATCTGTTATTGTTAGTAGAAGCCTACAAAATAAAATATTTCAGAAGGGTAAATACTGACAGCTCACCTCTTTTGTAACAGACACACTATTTTAATTCTCACATAGTAACAAGATACTGAATCACCAAGATATCACCTTTAGAAATTATGTCCCATACCATACACTTTTAAACACACTAAAAGCCCCCAAATCCTATAAAATACATTCTATGATCTTATCATTGACAAGCTTGAATTAAATCTTCCCTTACTCATTTTGTCTCCACATTTGGCAAACAAATTTTAAGCCAGGCAAGCCAACATAGCTTTCCTTTTATTCCTAGAGCTGTGCTCACACAATAACTATAACTATCACCACACTAGAAGATAAGATCCTATATAAGTATAGTGGCTTATGTTTTAAATCTGGGTTTCATGAGAAGAGATCTGTTCTGTAATTTAACTGGTTGTGCATCAATTTAGAATGGAAGAGTTAGCATCTACTGGAGCATCAAGTTAGGAGGAAGAGTGGGGGAGGGGAGAGGAGTCGAGGGAAGAGAAAAGACCTCCAAACGGAGGAGAACTAGAAGGTAGATTGGTGAGGAGCAAGTCAATGTGCAGTAGCAGTCAAAAAAGCTAAACAATGTTAGGAGCCATTGGGAAAGGGATAGAATAAGACAGAAAATATAATGCCCCTATGTAAATCCATGGTAAGCCCACACCTTGAATTCTGCGTGCAGTTCTGGTCACCCGGTCTCAAAAAAGAGATACAGAGAAGGGCAACAAAAATTATTAAGGGTATAGAACAGCTTCCATATGAGGAGAAATTAAAAAGATTGGAACTGTTCAGCTTGGAAAAGAGGGGATATGATAGAGGTCTATAAAATCACAAAGGGTATGGAGAACATGAATAAGTAGTGTTATTATCCCTTCACATAATAAGAATAAGGAGTCACCCGATAAATTAATAGACAGCAGGTTTAAAACCAACAATAGGAAGTTCTTCACATGATGCACAGTTAACCGTGGAACCCGTTGCCAGGGGATGTTGTGAAGACAAACTATAACTGGGTTCAAAAGCGAATTAGATAAATTCATGGAAGATAGGTCCATCAATGACTATTAGCCAAAATGGTAAGGGATGCAACCCCATGATCCAGATGTCCCTAAGCCTCTAACTCCAGAAGCTGGGCCACTCGATAACTGCCCAAATCCCTGTTAGAGACCTAGGAACATTTTACTTATCTTTCCTGACTATAAGCTATCAAAACTGTAAAACAAAGAAAAAAAATCACATACTTAGTATTAACAACCATTATTAGAATTAGGTCAATTAAATTGAGGGTTGAAATGTCCTTTGGTACCAGAATTTTTGATCACCTGGGAAACAAGATTTTGACATTTCATTACATATATGGTATGAAAAATGAAGTCTATCCAATGAAGTGGTTCTATTATGGCAGCTCTTGTCAGTTTGAGATTGTATTTTCCTCACCTTCCATTCACTCTCTCTAATAAAAATCGATCTCTATACAAGGAAGCCCAAGGACCCAGCTGTTCTAGCCAAAGAATCACCTCTTCAGGAGTCCATTTAGCAACAGGTTTGTGGACAAGAAGATCATCTTCATATTCTCTGCTGCTCCAATGATACCCAAGCAGAACCACCTGCAAAATAGCCAACAGATCCTTTTGGAATGCAGTATGAACATCACTGACAAAGTTTGGATCAAATGTTTGAAAGTCTTGCCAGTTTGATGGGGTACACTCAAATACCACAACAAATACAAATTTGAGTAAGATCTCAACAGCTTCCACCCCCATTTATTGTCCATCCACAGCTGGCACTGAAATATATAGTCAACACCAACCCCCTCCCCCCCCAATACTTGTCATTACTTTTCTGGACAGCTTAAATTAAATGCTGATGGTGTTTGTTTTCCATGTTTATCTGGAAAATGGATGGGGATGAAACTTACTGCCACACAAGTTAAAGCTGTCAGAACTCCAGAGAAGAAACCTCCTCCTCGAGGATTAATTCTTCTCACATTTGGAGGTGCAGAAATCTGATCATTTCCATGTTTTTGGAAGGCTGCAAGGCTGTGAGCTACATTACTGTTTTGCTGAATGTCTTCTTTTCGCTGTGCAATAGCATCAGGAAAGAGCTTTTCAATAGCATCCCTAGAGAAACACACATCAGTCACTTTACAATATATCACTGAGTCTATCCAAGTCTATAGCTCAGAGAACTGGGACTCAGCTGAAAAGTGTATTTTACAGCTTATTAGTTACATATTAAGTTTTGCGTGAAAGGAGGTTTTGGCAATCATCATCAGTTAAAAGTTGAATAAAAGGTTTTTGCACACAAACGTTAAATTTAAGGTTCACTATAAAGAAATGTATGATAAGAAAAACTGAAGTTTATACAATAACCACTATTCTAAATTTAGATGGTCAGGATATACCTTACTACTTTTGAAAGACAGCTGATAGGTTGTTATTCAATAGCACTGGCCAAGTCCAACAGAAAAGCCTAAAATCAACAGGGTAAACTATTTAACTGACTATCGTTTACACAGCTCAGAAAATTACTTTCTTAAAAAATGCAAGAAGAGAGCTTGTATGTAACTCAAAACACCATCAAGTACTTAATGAATCAATACTTTAGTATTGTGCTGTAATGAGATCAGAATTTATTCCAAGGAACTAAAGCAGTACTCACATTAATACCACTGAACATTCAAAGCTAGAATTATTTCTAGTTGTGATATGTTGTTAAGAACTATTAAAAGTGAGGGGAAAAAACTTAAGGCACTTAAAAAAATCTGAAAAGAAAATTCAGAGATCCACTCCAAAATACAGAAGTGATTACTTGAACAGTTAAAAACAATTACATATTGTGAGACTGCAAGCCTTAACGTCTGCAAGAAAGTGCTGATTACTGAGAGGTTTTAAAAGTATGTAGCCAAAAACAAGCAACAAAGTATGTATGTGTCTTTGCTTTTAAAAAGACCAAATAGATGCATTACAATCACCTGAGGAGGATGTTGACCTTGGGGAATCCTTCCCACTTTTCTCTGCATTCTGGACACTCATTCTTCTTCGAGGATACCCACCACAAGGCTAGGCAGTGTCTACAGAAACTATGACCACAGTTCAAGGTGGTGGGATTCACCAGAATATCATAACAGCAGTGGCAAGAGAACTCACTAACTGAAATCAGACGGCTGATCTCAGGAGCAGCATCTGCTTTAACTTTCAACTTCTCATTCTCTCTTTGTAACTTCACATCTTCTTCCATTTTTCCTTTGTGCATCAGATCACCAGAAAGCACACTCCAAAGTCTTTAAATCATGTGAGGCATTATTAATTCTGCAAAACAACAAAAAAGGCAATTATTTTCTCCTTTACAAAACCTAAGCAAGTATTAGAAGCAGTATTAATACAATGATGAAATTTTCTATGTGACATGTAAAGTTATATCCTCAATGTTTTCGCTCAAATTCACAAAAAAATTAATCATTTTGCTAGAGTACCAATTCTAGCAGACGTAGCATCATCTTCTACCTTCTCTCAATTATAATACATCCAGTACAGATTACAATCAAAAGCAGACTCTGGATGTACCCAACTAAAATAGATGGAACCATAGGTCCCTGACACTTTCTTGCCCTTCATTTATCTTCACATATAAAATAACCAACACCACAACAAAAACCAGTAAGTATCTGCCAAGACAAGATCAAAAGGTAAGTTTTTTTTATTTTAGCAAACTATGTATTTAATCAAAATTCTGTTGGGCAACAGACACCAAATCACCACGCTAAGCAACATTTAAAAAGTTTAACCTAAAAATATTGCACATGTGGTACACTATGATCAAATTTCCTCTGCCCATTCTTGCCCTGCACATTCCTATGTAGAGTCCCCAGCCTCCTACAGAGGCAGACACCATTACACAAATGACAGGTTTCAGAGTAGCAGCCGTGTTAATCTGTATTCGCAAAAAGAAAAGGAGTACTTGTGGCACCTTAGAGACTAAGAAATTTATTTGAGCATAAGTTTCATGAGCTACAGCTCACTTCATTGGATGCATCCGATGAAGTGAGCTGTAGCTCCTGAAAGCTTATGCTCAAATAAATTTGTTAGTCTCTAAGGAGCCACAAGTACTCCTTTTCTTTTTTCATTAAATAAACGTAGATCTGGGTAAGGGCTGGCTAGCATAGACTTCAGTGCAGGATGCGGGCCCAATTAGCTTCCCTAACGATGATTAGATGGTCACAGTGCAACGGGGCACATATCTTCCCAGCAAAAAGTTACTTTAATTTTCTACTGTCTCACCAGTTGAGAAGACCGTAAACCTATTTTATTGGGAAGATCAAGTGGTCAGATCTATTTCAGGGGGGTAGATGGGGAGATAAAATAGATTGCTCAGATTACCAGTCATCTTTCACGTTTTATTTTTTCAGGTGCTCTTCAAGATTTCTTTATTTGCTGTATTAATAGTTACAAATATTTTTGCTTCAAAAAAAAAAATGTTTGGCTCCTGTTTACTACCAAATTACATTCTCGTGGAGCCCTGAGCGGTACCGTCACGCAGCCCACCTACCGCTCCCCGTCCCCTCACTCCGGGGTGCCGGAGAGGAGCCTGCCCTGCCCGGCGCTCTCTCGCGGGGCCTCCCCGCTCCTCGGAGCCGGGAGCCTCCTCGCAGGGGCACATGCAGCGCCCCAGCACAGCGGAGCCCCGGCTCCTACGTTAACGGGCGAGTCACGGCACCGAGGACGCTCTCGGGCAGCGGCCCAGGAGGAGAGAGGTGAGGCCAGGCGCTGGGAAACCGGCCCCCACCCGGCGCGCGCCCCGCCGTCACTCACTGCTCCTGATGATCTCCATCCCCGCAGCCCGCCCCAGCCCGGCCGGAGCCCCAATCCGCAGCGCCCGAAACCCGGCTCTGCCCGCGCCGAGCACTTCCGGAAACAACCCTCCTCCCCCGCCGAGCACGTGAGCGCTCACGTGAGCCGCCCGACTTGGGAGGTGGGCGGGGATAGCCGCCATATTGTCCCCCGTGGGCGCCGGTCCGGCGGGGCGGTTTTAGGGGTTTGTGCTTCGTGGTTTTTCACGCACAGCCGCGCTCGAGGTTGCATAGTGTGAGCCAGGCAGCTCCCGTACCTGCGACTCCTCGGGGAGCTGCAGCCCACACAGCAGTACCCTTTAGCCCCTTCTCCTGGGGGCATCGCTATTGGTAGCTGCACCCCGCTGCTTCCCTCAGCCCACTTCCCTCTGCTTACACTAGAGCAGTTTGACAAAGATAAGGCATTTTTGAAGGGAGTCAAAACCCCAGGCTTCAGTCTCTATGCTGAAAAAACAGAACTATGGTGGGGGTGAAGGGGTATGTTCAGCGTTGTGGAAAGGAAAAGCCAATAAAAATGTAAGGATCTCTTTAGACATATGCTGTAGAATTAAAACAAAATATTTTTTTCCAATTATAGTTCACTTTCATACAGCAAACTTTAATCTATGTTTAAATTAACATCATACCTCAGCAATAGATGCAAACCTCCTGATTAATTTTCATCTTGCTGGAAACTTGAAAAATTAATTTGCTGTCAGTGTGGACAACTAAGATTTCAGTGCATGTGCTGAAGCAGGTGTATGTTTGCTCTGAGGTGCTAGACCACGTTTCCATTTCCCACTCTTGTGCAAATGTATCATATGGCAGATAATTGCCACCTTATACATTGACGATGGCCATTATCTACAGGGTAGAAATGTATTTTTCTAATACCGTGTATGTTTGAGAAATACTTCTGTCATCTGGGGAGTCGGAAATCCCTCTTCATCCTTACAAGGACAGTAAGTATATGCTTTGTTTCATCCAGCTTCCTCTTCTTCATCAAGCCAAATCCATAACAATCTATAGCTGTCAAAAAAATCTTTCCCTCCCATTTTTTAGTTTTTACTTTGTTCTCTTCTTTTCTCCCTACAGAACAGTGAGTTAAACCTTTTCGTTCTCACTGTGAAGGGATGACTACAGTACAGGGGTTGATAAACTGGGGGTCATGAGGTGGTTATGTGGGGGTCAGGGACTGATAGCCCTGAGTCCCTGTTAAATTAAAATTAAATTGCATAAGAATGGCCCTACTGGGTCAGACCAAAGGTCCATCTAGCCCAGTATCCTGTCTTCCGACAGTGGCCAGTGTCAGTTTCCCCAAAGGGAATGAACAGAATAGGTAATCATCAAGTGATCCATCCTGTCACTTATTCCCAGCTTCTGGCAAACAGAGGCTAGGGACACCATTCCTGCCCATCCTGGCTAATAGCCATTGTTGGACCTATCCTCCATGAATTTATCTAGTTCTGTTTTGAACCCTGTTATGGTCTTGGCCTTCACAACATCCTCTGGCAAGGAGTTCCATAGGTTGACTGTGTGTTGTGTGACAAAATACTTCCTTTTATTTGGGTTAAACCTGCTGCCTATTAATTTCATTTGGTGCCCCCTAGTTCTTGTGTTATGAGAAGTAGTAAACAAACACAACAAATTACATTACATTAAAAACCCAAATTTAATTTATCGGGGGGGCACACTTAGAGGCTTGCTGCGTGAGAGGGGTTACCAATACAAAGTTTGAGAACCACTGCTATAGTAGAAATGCTACAGCTGCACTTGCACTGATGCAGCCTATAGACAGTTACTACACTATGGAAGGGGTTTGTCTGGTAAATCCATCTCTCTGAGATGCAGTAGCTAGGCTGCTGGAAGAATGCTTCATTGATCTAGTGGCATCTCTGGCGGGGCTTAGGTTAGCTTACCTACATTGCAGAGGGTGTGAAATTTTTCACAGGGCTGCATGACCTAGTTAGGTTGACCTAACTTTGTATGATAGTTTCCCTTAGACACTTATTCTGCTCTTTCTCTGTGCTCCTACTGCTCTTAGAATCACAGAAATTAAGAGATGGAAAAAATGCTACTCTCAGCCAGTTGGAGTACCAGTGTAGGGCTATTCCCTATACTACAGCTTTGTGCTAGTTTAGTTTTAAATTTCTGCTGCAAAGGCTGAGCTTTGCTCATGGTTGAGTTTTGTCCTTTTGGAGTGGGCCCCTATGTTGGGTCAAGCTTCCATACACTTAGTGCACTCACTCCCTGTACAAAGCACACACCTGCTGACTGTGGGGAGTCATTTCCAGCATAATGACACATCCGTGTCTTCCCATTTTTATTTCTGTATTCCCCACCTCTTTGTGCCCCAAGGTGGCAAGGGTTCCCACGTGAACCTTTGTTACTTCTGGGCACAGTTCCTCTGCTGTACCTCACTAAGTACACTCAGCAGTCAAATAACAATGCAAAATATACTTATAGCAAAACCCTCATTTACCTGAAAATGAATGGTTTCAGAGTAACAGCCGTGTTAGTCTGTATTCACAAAAAGAAAAGGAGTATTTGTGGCACCTTAGAGACTAACCAATTTATCTGAGCATGAGCTTTCGTGAGCTACAGCTCACTTCATCGGATGCATACTGTGGAAACTGCAGAAGACATTATATACACAGAGACCATGAAACAATAGCTCCTCCCACCCCACTCTCCTGCTGCTAATAGCTTATCTAAAGTGATCATCAAGTTGGGCCATTTCCAGCACAAATCCAGGTTTTCTCACCCTCCGCCCCCCCACAAACAAACTCACTCTCCTGCTGGTAATAGCTTATCCAAAGTGACCACTCTCCTCACAATGTGTATGAAAATCAAGGTGGGCCATTTCCACCACAAATACAGGTTTTGTCACTCCCCCACCCCCTTTTTTCAAAAAAACACACACACAAAAACTCACTCTCCTGCTGGTAATAGCTTACCCAAAGTGACCACTCTCCCTACAATGCGCATGATGATCAAGGTGGGCCATTTCCAGCACAAATCCAGGTTTTCTCACCCCCCCCACAAACTCACTCTCCTGCTGGCAATAGCTCATCCAAACTGACCAAGCACTGTGGCGCTCAGGTGTGATTCCTGCTGGGGGATACTGACAGGGCAAAAGCCAGAGCTTCAGGAAGAAGTGACGCGCCTGGAGCTAAATGGGGGCGGGAAGGAAGGGGCACAGGGAGGGCGCCATGGGCTGAGGGAAGCAGCGGGGTGCAGCTACCAATAGCGATGCCCCCAGGAGAAGGGGCTAAAGGGTACTGCTGTGTGGGCTGCAGCTCCCCGAGGAGTCGCAGGTACGGGAGCTGCCTGGCTCACACTATGCAACCTCGAGCGCGGCTGTGCGTGAAAAACCACGAAGCACAAACCCCTAAAACCGCCCCGCCAGACCGGCGCCCAAGGGGGACAATATGGCGGCTATCCCCGCCCACCTCCCAAGTCGGGCGGCTCACGTGAGCGCTCACGTGCTCGGCGGGGGAGGAGGGTTGTTTCCGGAAGTGCTCGGCGCGGGCAGAGCCGAGGTTTCGGGCGCTGCGGATTGGGGCTCCGGCCGGGCTGGGGCGGGCTGCGGGGATGGAGATCATCAGGAGCAGTGAGTGACGGCGGGGCGCGCGCCGGGTGGGGGCCGGTTTCCCAGCGCCTGGCCTCACCTCTCTCCTCCTGGGCCGCTGCCCGAGAGCGTCCTCGGTGCCGTGACTCGCCCGTTAACGTAGGAGCCGGGGCTCCGCTGTGCTGGGGCGCTGCATGTGCCCCTGCGAGGAGGCTCCCGGCTCCGAGGAGCGGGGAGGCCCCGCGAGAGAGCGCCGGGCAGGGCAGGCTCCTCTCCGGCACCCCGGAGTGAGGGGACGGGGAGCGGTAGGTGGGCTGCGTGACGGTACCGCTCAGGGCTGAGCTGTGATCGGTACCGGGCTGCGACCTGTGACCTCCGCCCCGCTGTCTGCACCCCAGAGCCCGGCCCTTTCGCTGCTGCCTGAGTCCCTGAGCTGACACGGGCCCTGGCCAGCGAGCTCCCGGGGAAGCCGCGGAACGTGAGGGGAGTCGTTGTGCGCCCTTGATTTGACCCTCCCCTCAGCACGCCCGGGGCTGTTGGTTTATCTCTCAGATGACGCTGTCTTTGCAAGTGGACACTGAGCCTCTTAAAAAGGCTGAGAGACCGAGGGTGGCTCTCAGGGCCCTGCCGTCTAGTTCCCGGGCGGTGGGTCCGCTTCGCTGATCCCGCACACAGACGGGAGGCCGGGTGGAGGTTCTCGAGTTGATAGCCCTGTTCTCAGGGATGTTTTTACTGATTTCTTTATAGATTTTAAGGATAACCTAAATAAAGTGTATGAAGCCATCGAGGAAGCAGACTTTTTGGCTATTGATGGCGAATTTTCAGGTACTATTAAGATTATTTTGTGAACGTCATAGATTTGGAATTGGGGTGCTGGGGGTGCTGCAATAGCCCCTGACTTGAAGTGGTTTCCTTATATGCAGGAATTACAGTTTGATTCAAGGGCTCTCAGCATCCCCACTATAAAAATTGTTCCAGATCCCCCGGTGAACATGGAATATTAGCAAATGGGCTAACTGTGATCCACTGTACTGAATATGCAGCCACTTTGCTTATGGATTTCCCATTGCCTTAGATGTAATAACTGTCTTTAGAATTTTCTTTTGTTCTAAGATGCCTGAATAGGGAACTGAAATACTTAAAACAAAAGCTAGGTCAAAATGTTAAATTTAACACTGTACGTATGGGTTATGTATTGCATAAGAGAGGCCAACAGTCAGTTGACCATACCTTTAAAAAACTACCTTTAAAAAAAAACAAACCAAAAACTATAAACATAAAGCATACATTGTGCCAAATTAAGTGTAAATATGTAATAAGAAAAGCTGAAAAGGAGTTTGAAGAACAGCTAGCCAAAGACTCAAAAGGTAATAACAAAATGTTTTTTAAGTACACTAGAAGCAGGAAGCCTGCTAAACAACCACTGGACAATTGAGAGACTAAAGGAGCACTTAAAGTCGATAAAGTCATTGCAGAGAAACTAAATGAATTCTTTGCTTCAGTCTTCACGGCTGAGGATGTTAGGGAGATTCCCAAACCTGAGCCGTCTTTTGTAGGTGACAAATCTGAAGAATTGTCACAGATTGAAGTGTCACTAGAGGAGGTTTTGGAATTAATTGAGAAACTTAACAGTGTAAAATCACCGGGACCAGATGGCATTCACCCAAGAGTTCTGAAAGAACTCTAATGTGAAATTGCAGAACTATTAACTATGGTTTGTAACCTGTCCTTTAAATCCACTTCTGGTACCCGGTGACTGGAAGATAGCTAACGTAACGCCAATATTTAAAAAGGGCTCTAGAGATGATCCCAGCAATTACAGACCGGTAAGTCTAACATCAGTCCCGGGGAAATTAGTTGAAACAATAGTAAAGAATAAAATTGTCAGACACATAGAAGAACATAAATTGTTGGGCAAAAGTCAACATGGTTTCTGTAAAGGGAAGTCATGTCTTACTAATCTATTAGAGTTCTTTGAGGGGGTCAACAAACGTGGACAAGGGGCATCCAGTGAACATAGTGTACTTAGGTTTCAGAGTAGCAGCCGTGTTAGTCTGTATTCGCAAAAAGAAAAGGAGTACTTGTGGCACCATAGAGACTAACAAATTTATTTGAGCATAAGCCTAACTCACAAAAGCTTATGCTCAAATAAATTTGTTAGTCTCTAAGGTGCCACAAGTACTCCTTTTCTTTTTATAGTGTACTTAGATTTCCAGAAAGCCTTTGACAAGGTCCCTCACCAAAGGCACTTACATAAATTAAGTTGTCATAGGATAAGAGGGAAGATCCTTTCATGGATTGAGAACTGGTTAAAAGACAGGGAACAAAGCGTAGGAATAAATGGTAAATTTTCAGAATAGAGAGGGATAACTAGTGGTGTTTCCCAAGGGTCAGTCCTAGGACCAATCGTATTCAACTTATTCATAAATGATCTGGAGAAAGGAGTAAACAGTGAGGTGGAAAAGTTTACAGACAATACTAACCTGCTCAAGATAGTTAAGACCAAAGCAGACCGTGAAGAACTTCAAAAATCTCACAAAACTAAGTAATTGGGCAACTAAATGGCAAATGAAATTTAATGTGGATAAATGTAAAGTAATGCACATTGGAAAAAATAACCCCAGTTATACATACAATATGATGGGGGCTAATTTAGCTACAACTAATCAGGAAAAAGATCTTGGAGTCATCGTGGATAGTTCTCTGAAGACATCCATGCAGTGTGCAGCGGCAGTCAAAAAAGCAAATGGGATGTTAAGAATCATTGAAAAAGGGACAGAGAACAAGACGGGGAATATCTTATTGCCCTTATATAAATCCATGGTATGCCCACGTCTTGAATACTGTGTACAGATGTGGTCCCCTCATCTCAAAAAAGATATACTGGCATTAGAAAAGGTTCAGAAAAGGGCAAGTAAAATGATTAGGGGTTTTGAGCAGGTCCCATATGAGGAGAGATTAAAGAGGCTAGGACTTTTCAGCTTGGAAAAGAGGAGACTTAAGGGGGATATGATAGAGGTATATAAAATCATGAGTGGTGTGGAGAAAGTGAAGAAGGAAAAGTTATTTATTTGTTTTCATAATATAAGAACTAGGGGTCACCAAATGAAATTAATGGACAGCAGGTTTAAAACAGATAAAAGGAAGTTCTTCTTCACACAGCACACAGTCAACCTGTGGAGGTTGTGAAGGCTAGGACTATAACAGGGTTTAAAAGAGAACCTCCATGAATTTATCCAGTTAAGTCCATTAATGGCTATTCACCAGGATGGGTAAAGAATGGTGCCCCTAGCCTCTGTTTGTCAGAGGGTGCAGATGGATGGCAGGAGAGAGATCACTTGATCATTACCTGTTAGGTTCACTCCCTCTTGGGCATCTGACATTAGCCACAGTTGGTAGACAGGATACTGGGCTGGATGGATTTTTGGTCTGACCCAGTATGGCCATTCTTAAGTTCTTATGTACTATTGGTTTGTCACTTCATTGACTCTGGTTTTGTCTCCAGTAATGTGGCTTGAGACCCATCAACATCAGGTCATTGGTACCACATGCCATTCTATCAGGATTATTTTTCTAACCTGTGAATGACACAAGTAAGGCTTTCATAGTTTTTCCTAGAACATGGTTTCACTGCCAGCACATTATGTTCTCTGAACTCACCAGATTGTTTATGTAGAATTACATTGTTTAATTGGCTTTTGTTTAAAGAGGGATGTTCACCTATAATGGAAGAGGTTTTTTTCAGTTGAATGGTAACTTATACATATGTAATGTAATATTATGTTAGTTACATAGTGGCAGACTTCTTAATAATTGTCCTTTGTTGCTACTCCTCACCCACTGTCTTTAAATAGCTTTATTTTTATGTAATATTTCCTATATTTTTTAGGAATCAGTGATGGGCCATCTGTTAGCACATTAACCAATGGCTTTGACACACCAGAAGAAAGGTATCAAAAACTTAAAAAGGTAAATGTAAAACTTAAGAGCTAAAATGAAACTATTTTAAGTATTTTGCCATACTTGGTAGGAGGTGTAACATGTCTGAGACTAGAACAAACTGTTAGATTTGTTAGTAGTGCATATCAGTATGTCATGATAGGCATTTATTCTGAGACAAATTAAGACTTCTGCTTCATTCTAAATAGTACTCATAGATAAAAACTTGAATTCCAGCAGGAAAAATAGGCTAAATATTTAACTTTGCCTGTCTAATATTTGGCTGCGTACAGGATGTTGGTAGGGACACAGTGGAGACAAGTAAGATTTTAAATTTACATTAGGTTAAAATAGTTATTGATTAAAAACAATACTTTTGATCTATTTTGTCTATAGCAGAGGTTCTCAACCTGCGGTTCAGGGCATACGTAACACACTGTGGGCCACGTGTGTGGCCCACAATGGTCAATAGGTTGAGAACCACTGGTCTACAGCAATTGGTGAGTGTTTCAGTAAGGCCATGCTTATCCTGTTGAACCGGAGTCTGGCAATGTCTATGCTAACTGTCTTGAGAGCCTCCAGCATTGGTCTAACAGTGGGCAAGTGCCAGATGTTATGGTGGTCAAGCGCCTGTATCCAGTCTACACTAGTTCTTTTGCCAATGTAAGTGTCATTGATGCTAGACCAGTGGTTCTCAAACTATGGGGCGGACCTCTGAACAGAGGTGTGGGAATGTGTCAAGGGGAACCATGAGCTGAGTGCCTTTTTTAAGCTCTGGCTGTCAGTCCTGGGTGGCTGGGGCTTGTGCAGAAAGGCCATGATGGGAGGCTCTCCTCCTCCTCACCCCATTCCCTCACCAGGAGGCAGCTCAGGCTTTCGTTCCCCTGCCCCCCCCAATCCCTCATCTGGAGATGCAGGGCTCCGGTTGACAGCCCCGAGGTGGCATCAGCTTTAGTAACGGTGGCAATGTGGTGCTAAATCTGCTGTGGAAAGTGATGTAGATGAATATCACTTTTCACATTAAGAAAAGGAGTACTTGTGGCACCTTAGAGACTAACTAATTTATTTGAGCATAAGCTTTCGTGAGCTGCAGTTCACTTCATCGGATGCTCTGTAGCTCACGAAAGCTTATGCTCAGATAAATTTGTTAGTCTCTAAGGTGCCACAAGTACTCCTTTTTTTTTTTTTTTGCGGATACAGACTAATACGGCTGCTACTCTGAAACTTTTCACATTGTCTTACTTCTGTGCTGCTGCTGGGATGGTGCGCCCTTCAGAGCTGGGCACCCAGTCAGCAGTCGCTGCTCTCCACTCTGCCTTCAGAGCTGTGTGGTGGTGGGGTGTGTGCAGTGTAAATTACTACAAACACAAAGAAGGGGGACCCAATCAAATAAGTTTGAGAGCCCCTGTGCTAGACAAATAGTGGAAGGTGGGAATCTGATACCTGACACTGTACACAAGGCCAAATTGCCTGTGTGTGTAAAAGGGCGGGGAGGGAGGAGGAAACCACACACCACCAAACAAGAACCCTTTGGGCAGCTGCCAGATGAAATGGGGAAAAGAGAGGATTGCAACTCGGTTTTAGGGCTTGTCTAGATAAATAGTTAAGGTGTAGCAAGCTGGGGTGTAAATCTACAGTGCTCCAGCATGCCACACACTTACTGTTCATGTGTACTTACTGCTGCACAATAACACAAGGTGCACTAGGGAACTTTTAGTGTGCAGCAGCAGGGTCCACACAGACTGTCACTGCATAGCATGCTGAAGCGCTGTAGATTTATACCCTCCCTTGCCATGCACTAACCTGCCATATAGACACGCCTTTAGAAAGGGTTTTGTGGCAACAGCTTGCACTTAACAACTTTGACTATTGAAGCTGTAATAGGTATCCTTCTCCTCCCCCCCTTTTCCAAATACTATTATCTTGTACTGGAAGTGCTTAAATTACCTCTCAGATCTTGGGGTTATGTTGACTGTCAGTCATGAGAAGGAACATGCCAAAACCTTTCAGTACTATTTAAAACTAAGATTATATCTCAGAAAGGGAAGTAAGCCTTTTCTTGTAAAATACTTGTTAAGTTTATGATCATGCATATTTGCTGTTAGCTATAAAAACTACTACATTTATCCCTTTAAAGAGACTGTTGGCCCCAACACTAGATTTTTAAAGCAAGGATTTACCAAGCTTAAATCACGTATCTATATATTTTATCTGCTATTGTTAGAGGTTACAGTTAGGATTATTAGAATTCAAGATATTAGAAGAATAGTTCTATTTTGCATTTTGTTTACTTTGTGGATTTTTTAGCTCTTTGTGTAGAGTTCCACTGTCTCTCCCTGAATAGTTGATCAGGCTCACCTCTTGTGGGTTGTGTGTATAGCAATGGAGAGGAGAAGCAACTTTTGGAAAGGTAGCTGAAACATTAGAAAAGCTGTCAGGAGGTACTTGAGACTATTTGAATGCACTTGAAGTTGAACAGATCAAGTTGGTGGTGTCCCTTTAATATAAAATAACTTGTTTTTAAAAGCTGGTTTTAGTTCATACCTTTGCAGTAATGGAAGCTGAAACAATATTGCCCTACTGCATGAGAAACAAAGTGAAAATTTAGTCTATTCACTGTCCAAGCTGAGTGAAGTGCAGAAAAAAATTGCAAAAATGAAGAAAAGGTAAAAATGAAATGCTAAACTTCAGAAGAAAAAAGAATGTTATTGGTAAGAATAATTTTATTTTTAAACATGAATCTTTTGTAGACAAAGATCCTTTTTTAAACTAAGGTATTCTGACAAGGCATTTTCACTTGAGTGCCTATATTTATAAATGACTTACAGATGTCTGAGCCTCAGACAAATAATTTTTTCCCGAATGCCTCTCAGTTGCATTTCAAAATGTATTGTAACCATAGTCTGTCTTGTTTTCCTTTTCAGCATTCCATGGATTTCTTGCTTTTTCAGTTTGGCCTTTGTAGTTTTAAATATGACCACGCAGAAGCTAAGTATGTTGTTTCCTTGACTTATTCCTAACTTTTTTTATACTAGGTAATATTGATAAGCTCTATTTTGACTTGTAACTCTTACCTTTCACAGATACATAATGAAATCATTTAACTTCTATATTTTTCCAAAACCCTTCAACAGAAGTTCACCAGATGTCAAGTTTGTCTGTCAGGTTAGTGGAAAAACAGATTTATATATATTGCTACTGGAAAATTTTTCAAAATGATTTTTGTGAAAATTCTGTAGTGGTGTCAATTTTGATTAGTCCCTGAAGCATTTTTGCCTATGTATAATTCATTCTTCATGGATTTTTTTCCCCAGTGCATAGAGAAGGAAGGCAGGTTCCATTTTAAAAAAAAGTCTTAGTGGAACAATTTTCTGTAAATGAAGAAAACTAGGCTGAAAAATGAAGTAAAGGTCATTCCCCTTTTTAAACTCCTGCTGCTTAATACAGGGCTTAGTTTTTTCTGTAGACAGAAGTGACTTTTCTTATCCAGCTTTTTTTCTTTTTTCTCTTCCTATCCATTCTTCTTCTCTCCCTCTCTCTCTCATTGCTTCACAAAGCTGTTGTGAGAATTTCTGGACTCATGGGATTTTGCCACACCAGTTCCTTCACTTGATTCCCGTTCCCCCCTCCACCTCCGGTCCCTCACCCAACTCTTTCTCTCCTTATGTCTTTATTTTTCTCCTGTCTCTCATCCATACCTCATTAAAGATATAATCAGTATACCAAAGATCGGGATTCCTAGCCAGTGCTAAGCACTAAAGGAAAGCCAGCAGACATCATCAATGTATAGTCTTGTGTTTTGTCCAGCTGACACTTTTCTAACAGTTGTTGAACCTTTTTGCCAGAAGAGAGTGGTACAAGTCCTATTTAGCTTGGTAGAACCCAGAAGGTACTTCTCTTCTTATTACAGAAAGTTGCATATGTATTTTTAAAAAATCTGTATAGTAATAGATACATATGTAGAAAGCTTTACACTCCTTTCCACCCTTATTACCATTGTATTATGCTTTGCCTATGGCAGAAACTGTTGCCTTTTTGGTTTCCATGTTGCCCTGGATATCATGAGTCTCATCGCCAACATGGCTCCTGTAGATGCATTTTTAAGGTTTTTGTTTGAAAGAAGAATTTGTTTTAAACAATCCTGAGCTTCACTTGGCTTTTCGGAAAACTAAAATCATGACTCTACAGCTTCTAACTAAGATCAGAAATGGTACATGCATAGCTTCAAAGTGGCTTTTTTATTATAATTTAAACAGTGTACTACATATTAATTGGTGTTATGGTGGGTTTGATGTTAAGGTTTTGGGATGTATTGTTATCTATAGTGCACAAGCCATGGGTTATCTGTTAGGGATAAGTAAGCAACAAAATACTGATGGAGAGATTTACTTATGAATGACTTGTTCTACTCTATTAAACTTTATCTTTTAATAAACTATTTCATTGCACAGACTAACTTTGAGTTCACTAACCTAATACTTTGACAAAGAAAAAAGTTAGTATGGGTTTTTTAAAACAAATATGTTTGAGGAAAATACCTGGGTTGTTTTTTAATTGACCTTTGAAATTTCAATGGTGTACAATCAGTCACAAAGCTGTTTTTTTTGTTTGTTTTTTTCCTTTTCAGAGTTCAAGTATAGACTTTTTAGCAAACCAAGGATTTGATTTTAATAAAGTTTTTCGCAATGGTAAGCTTTCTTTCATTTTACAGCCTGTTTTTATAGACTATCTTTTCCTCCATTTCCTGTTTAAAATAAAAGGCAAAACATGTACATTTTGACCTTTTGGTAAAGTTGTTAAGATCTTAGCTTATTTGATGTTTGTTTGTGGGGGAGGAGGGAAAGTGACTGTCCATCTACGTTTTCTGAGAAACAGGTGAGTGCCTACTTGTTTAAGCATATTTTAGTGATAATAGTTTTTCAGTGGTTAAACACAGAACAAAGTTGTAATATTTCCAAAAGAACATTCCTATAGGTCTTATTACTGGAACAATGGCATTTTCTAGCTTGTCATACTGTAAAACTAAGGACTAGATAATTGTGACACTTAATATGACAGTGCTAGTCATTTGACTTGTTCCTCAATTTAGGTACCTATATATTGCCCCTCTTCTGCTCAACCCTTCCTATTTCAGCAGGTTTCTTAAGGTAATTAGTACCTGCAGGGCTCTGATGTGTTGCAAATCTTTTCTGTGAGATAAATGGCAACTATTTTAAAGCTTCTTGACTCCATAGCAATCTGTGGCCCTGATACTAAACTATATCCATATGGGTAGATCCCTATTCCTTATTTATTTGCTTTGTGGTAGCACTTAGAAGCCCCAGTTATGTATCAACAATATGAAGGCCCATCAAATTCAGTGAGGTTCTGTGCAGAAATAGGGGTCTGCCTGTAAGGATCAGATTTCAGGAGGAGGGCCTAAATTGCTTGTGACTCATTTGGGCTTGAAGGTGCCAGCTGCTCTGGCTCTCTCAAAAGGAATCCTTTGCAACTAGAGATAAGGAAAGGAAACTTAGAAGAAATATTTGAGGGATACAGATGCATTTCCCCCCCACAGTTTTTAGGTTGTCACATGACTGGAGTAGTGACTAAGCTTCTCTGAGCTGTGCAATACTTGCTTGCTTTTAATGATAAAACCTGTAAAATGTTTTTCTTAGGAATCCCATATTTAAATCAGGACGAGGAAAGACAATTACGGGAGCAGTATGATGAAAAACGTTCTCAGGCAAATGGTGCGGCGACCCTATCGTACATTTCCCCTAATGCCACAAAGTGTCCTGTGACTATTCCTGAGGATCAGAAAAAATTCATTGAAAGAGTGGTGTAAGTGGAAATATAAAAATCATGTTATTCTAATGTGTGCACACTCTCTTCTTTATGTGGTAGTCCTCCATTCTGAAGTTGCCTAAAAACTTGAAGTTGCCAGTGTTCTGATTCTAAATTTGTCAGTCTTAACAAAATGTTCCTTTGAATGAGAGGGTTTAAGTCTGGGAAACTTCTTTTCCTTTTAATCAGGCTTTTTTGAGGCTTATCTGCAACTTTCAGTAATCTGTCTTCAGCTACATCAAGGGTAGTTAAATTGTTAGTTACATTTTTGCCTCTTGATGGTATTGTCCTTTTTTCGAAATCTCTGCTAAAGTTTAATCCAATTCTTAGTTTGTGATCTTGGCTGGAAAATAATGGCCATGTATATTCTGGCCCTCAAATATAAAGCCATTTAAGTCTACACTTGGTTTCTGTTTTAGATTTCTTAATCACGCAAGACTTCATATTTATCACTATACTAATGTCTCTAAAGATGAAAAATGTTGGTATATGTACAATAAACATGTCTTAAATATTCCATTAATCCTTCTTATAAAAGATTTGCTTTGCCTTTTGGTATATATCACTAAATGCTTCTGTGAAAATAGTATTGTATTAGTAAAAGCAAATAATAATCTGTTTAATCTATTTTCTCCAGGGAGCAAATAGAAGATTTAATACAGAATGAAGAAAACAAGAATTTGCAGTTGGAGCCATGCACAGGGTCAGTTTCTGAAAATAAACACTAGTTCTCTGGTAAAGGGAGAACTCTGAACTGTCTTCTGTATAAGAAATTAGGTTTGACCTACTAGCCCAGGTATATGGGGGGAAAAGCCTCTTTCTGTAGGTTTGCACATAGCGGTCTCAACAATTTTATCCCTGATTAGTCCTAGCAAAAACTGTTTGATTTAGGACGGAAAGTAAAGACTTGCTGTCATGGAGCTTCGGTATCTTTCCTTGCTTAAAAAGTCTAAACTTCCAGATGTTCATCCTGAAGTTCTGCAGTGGTGGCAACACATACCAAGGGTGATGTATAGTATGCATATGGCATTATTTGAATATACATAAATTTACAGTTTTGTATGTTTATAAGTTGAAGAGGTGCTCTTCATAAATAATACTTTAATGGGAATTTAGGTAAAGTATCAAACTTCCTCTTGTGCCTTTCCTGTTGATTATCAAGATGACTTTTTAAAACTGCTTTTTCCATTTTAATCAATGTACTTCATGTGTCTGCATATTTTTGGAATCAGCTGGTGGTGAATCCATAGCTCAGGGGTTAGAGCGTTGGCCTTGTAAACCAAGGGCTGCAAGTTCAAATCTTTAGGGGAGGGATAGCTCAGTTGTTTGAGCACTGGCCTGCTAAACCCAGGGTTGTGAGTTCAATCCTTGAGGGGGCACTTTAGGGATCTGGGGCAAAAAAAAATTGGGGATTGGTCCTGTTTTGAGAAGGGGGTTGGACTAGATGACCTCCTGAGGTCCCTTCCAACTGTGATATTCTATGATACAAGGTGGCTCTTGTGCATGTGAAATATTATACACATTGGAATATTGTATTACTAGGCCCACCATCATTGGATGTATAGTTATTTCTTAACTAACCATAATGACAAAGGAAATAGTTATTCCATCTAAATAGACTTGAGTGAATAATACTTAGCTGACAGAGCCAAACAAACATTTTTCTATTAATTTTTGGCAAGTCATTCTCATCAGAAAGGCAGATACGTGTACAATAAGATGTAAATCAATTTCTCATTGGAAAATTAGACTAGTGTTTAGCCTTTTAAATGCCTTTTAAGATACCATGTGATAACACCATGAGCTGTTTTATGTTCACTGCCTGAATTTTTAACATAAATTTGTCTTTATTTGACTTCGAAATATTTATATATGAGAACCATTAATAACATTACTCTTTTCTGCTTTTAAAGATTTCAGAGGAAACTAATTTATCAGACTTTGAGCTGGAAGTAAGTTACTAGTGTTAATTTCTTACCTTACCTTCTGTATATCTGTGCTGTTTTTTAACATGAAAAAATCTAGATAAAAAGCTGATCTACGGTTAATCTCATATCCATTATGTTTAGATTGCTTAAGAAGAGAAACAGTCTTGTAATGTGGTTAAACTGAACTAATACTTACAAGTGTGGAGTTCTTAGTGGTTCGTTAGAATCCTTTTTTTTTTTTTTAAATTGAGCATATTTCTATTCTATCACTTACAACTATTAAAATAGTTGTAAATTGAACAGTACAATGTAGCAGATTAGTGTTATGTAATAACATGTGACTCTTAACATACAGTGTGCAGTTATTGCAAACAACTGAAGAGGAGGAATGTATTCCTGCATAGATAGTGGGATTAATTTGAATGATAATTAGTTCTATAGGGTGTTGATGGTGCTCTTATATTTATGGGTGATATTGTGGGAGATTGTTTCAAGTTGGCAGTAGTTCTTAAAATCCTGTCTTTAGAGACTGTTCTTAGCTAAAATTGTTTTGTGCTGATTCTCATCTTAGAAGTAAATTGTATTTTAAAAACAGATAAAAAAGCTGTTGAAGAAGCCATTTGACTAATGGAGATGGGATGAGGTCTTTAAGCTGTTTAACAAATATATTTTCAAAATGTTTTGATGCACATGAGGAAGTTACCGTATATACTCGTTCATTAGCCCATTCGTTTATAAGTTGACCCTCCAGATGGACTGGTAAAAATAATAAAAACTGTATGACCCTTTCATAAGCCAACCCTATATTTCAGGGGTTGGCAAACTTTGGCTCCCGGCCCGTCAGGGTAAGCCGCTGGTGGGTCAGGGCGTTTTGTTTGCCTGGAGTGTCTGACGGCATGGAGCTCCTCAGTTCCCTGTGGCTGCGGTTCGCCGTTACCAGCCAATGGGAGCTGCGGAAGTAGGGGCTCCATGCCTGCAGATGCTCCAGGTAAGCAAAACAACAATGTATTAGATATTCAATTCAATGATTTCATAGAGTTGAAAATCGTCAAATTTTGGTGTAGACCCGTTTATAAGCTGACCCCTGCTCTTTGATGTGTCACTTTTTTACCAAAAATATTTGGCTTATGAATGAGTATATACGGTATCCAAACATGTATTTAGAGTATCTGCACATTGAAATAATGGCATTTTGCATTTTTTTATCATTGTGGCAGATTTTTTTTTTTAAACTGCTTTGCCTACACCCACACTGCACAATGAGGGCTCCCTGTGAAATCTGAGTGTATGTGCATTCCTGAACGGGTAACTTAGTAACTGCTTTTTTGAATAAGTTTCTCGTTCTGAAAGAATGCACAAGCAGTACTTTAACCCAACATCAGATTACACAGATTGATTTAATTGCACTGAAGTCAAGAAATTGAGTTAGAGTTCTCTCAGGAACAGTTGTTCAGCTATCTGCATAGTTTTATTTTCTTAATATACTAACACTAATTGTTGAAATTCTTGAGATACAAGAAGGCAAAATTATTGAATAGCTTGGTACTTTGAATTTGCCAACTTCACTTTGGTTAAAAGCTGCCTTAATAGTTTTTGCATTTAATATTAAACCTGTCTGTAACCTTACTACAAGTTGTGTAGCTATGAAAATTAGCCTAGTTGAAGATGGGAGCTTCAGTATACTAAACAGTATACTGCCAAATTAGTCCATAAACTGTACTTTACCTTTCACTATTTGCTGTAGGTACCCAAAAGGTATCCATGTTGAAACTCTGGAGACAGAGAAGGTAATTAATTAACAACATACTGTCTTAAATTGTTGTTCTGTGTAAGGAAAATCTCAGTCCTAATGAAATTTCATATTACTTGAGCTCTAAATTTGCCTGCTGAAGCTTTGTTATCCAAACTTTTAAACTTTCATTAAACTGTGATGAAATACTTTTGAATAACCTTAGTGGTCTGACTTTAAAATCCATGAGGTATAAATACAAATATATGACTTATATTAAGTGTGTGAGTGGAAAGTATAATGGCTATTTTAAATACTTAGTCAATCTAACATTCAGTACATTGAGAGTATGAAGTCTTGGTCAGCTGAGTGGTTTGATAACAGAACAATAATTGCAGCAGATATTAAACATAAACTTTTTCCCAAAGAGCTAGGTAAACAATATGAACCCCAAATCACCTGATTAAAACCTAAAGTTATAGGGGAACTTAGTATGGTAAATGTTTTCATTCCAACCAAAAAGTGTATTGTCCTTAGGCTTCGTTATGTGAGTAGATTCAGTTTGGATAGCCTTGTTAAAATTATAAGTCCCTAGAAAAAAATAAGAGTTTATAAAAGAAACACTGTAATATTAGTAGGTAAACTGTTGCAGCGAAACTCTGAGTATAATGGATGCAATTTAGCTATATTTGCAGTGGAAATTTAGATAGCAAATTGTGATTGGTTTATGTATTAGTGTTGGGATTCTGTTTTAGTTTTTCACTTTCTTTGTCAAGCTATTCCTGGAATAATTTACTTATGCCATTACTGCTTTCAGAAGGAAAGATACATTGTCATTAGCAAGGTAGATGAAGAAGAGCGCAAAAGAAGAGAACAGCAGAAACAAGCTAAAGAACAGGTAAAATGTTTAGTGTCCTTGTTCTTTCTTAATGCTGTTCATTTTAATTGAAATGTTGGAATTGGGGAAGAGACCTGACTGACTTGAATTCCATATGCTTATGACACTGAAATTTCCCCACCTCTCAACTCCAGTATCCTGCCTCTTGCATTGGTGATATCTGATCTTTCAGAGGAAGGAAAAGTCAGGGATGCGCTTGACTAAGTAAGCAGTGCTGTGGATGATGGAAGTGGAGGGGGATAATATTTGTACCTGCTCACTATGGCTCTCTGCTGATGTCATGGAGCATATTCAGTTACCTTTATCTTAGTAAGCATAGCTAGAAGATGTTTATCATTACTTGTCTCTTAAAATCTTGCTACAGTATTTGAAAACCTTCAGTAGTAGCTAACTGCATTCTGAAAGGTGTTTCCTTGTACTATTTTCAAACTAAAGTGACACCTTATTTTCTTTCTTTGAATTGGTGTCAAAAGGAAAGCCTGAGTGTTTTTTTTACTGTACCCCTCATAACATTAGGTACCTCGGTTATTCTTTTTAATGAGAATTAGAGAAGACTTCAATAGCTGTCTGTTTCAGTCTGTCCAGGATAGATCTGAAACTGGGCATACAGTTCCAGATGTATGGCTTGCAGTACTGAATTGCCTGCTGTAATGGATTTTTAGTGCTTATAATTCTTTTCTTTGGGACATCAAATGCTTCTGTGCTAGGAATTAATTGACTAGTCACAGTAGAACTTATCCAGTCATAACTACAGAGACTGAGGTTCCCCATAAATGTTAAAAAGTGTTCTTAGTAGCTCTTAACGTGGATTAATAAGGGATAAAGTAAGAGGATCAAAGCCTTTTTTAGTATTGTCCTCTTACCATTAGAATGAGCATAAAGCAGAGGTGAGCATGCTATGGCCTGCAGGCCATATCTGGCCCATGGGGACCCTCCTGCCTGGCCCCTGAGCTCCTGGCCTGGGAGGCTAGCCCTGACTCCTTCCCTGCTGTTCAACCTCCCCTGCAGCCTCAGCTCACTGTGCCGCTGGCGCAATGCTCTGGGCGACGGGGCTGCAGAGCTGCAGCCTGACATGGTGCTCTGTGCTGCGTGGTAGCGTGGCTGACTCCAGCCAGGCAGCATGGCTGCCTGTCCTGGTGCTCTGGGTGGCACGGCTGTAGCGCCGCAAGCCACCGGTGCAGGGGGGTTGGATAGAGCGCAGTGGAGTTCGGGGTGGTGGTCAGGGGGCAGGGGTGTGGCTAGAGGGCGGGGCAGTCAGAGGGCAGGGAACAAGGAGTTTGAATGGGGGCAGGGGTCCTGGAGGGGCAGTCAGGAATGGGGGGTGGGGGCGTTTGGATGGGGCAGTCCGGCAGGGGTTCTGGGGGTGGGCAGAGGACAGGGAGAAGGGGTGGTTGGATGGGGCAGGGGTCCTGTGGGGGCAGTCGGGAATGAGAGGAGAGGTTGGATGGGGCGGCGGGGGCCAGTCAGGGGACAGGGAGCGTGTGTGTGTGTGGATGGGGCAGGAGTTCTGGCGGGGCCATCAGGGGACAGGGAATGGGGGGGGTTGGATGGGGCAGGAGTCCCGGGGGGGCGGGGTGGACCACGCCTGGCTGTTTGGGGGGGGGGGGCTGGACCACGCCTGGCTGTTTGGGGAGGCACAGCCTCCCCTAACTGATCCATTATATAATTTCGGAAACCCGATGTGGCCCTCAGAACAAAAAGTTTGCCTGCCTCTGGCATAGAGTGGGTTTCCAGTGCTCAAACATCTTCCCTTGCACTTGCTCTCTATATCCTTACATGAATTTCCTCTACCAGATCTGCAGGTTCTACATGTATGAAACATTTAAGCCTTAAATAAATTATCTACAATTACTGAGCACTGATACTTAAATGGAAGTCTTGTGATGCTTCTAAGTGAAGTTGGTGCACCAAATTGGTACTGTAGCATGTTGCTGAAGTAATACTTTTAATGTAAAAATATTCCTTACTGTACACTAGCCCAATAAAAATGCATTGTTCTAAGAGCAATCAGAGGGCTACTACCTTGGTTCTGGCCACAGAAAGGAAGAAAGGAAAGGAAGAAAGACAAAATGTAATGAATGTGACTCATTTAGGCTGCAACTTCATTCACTTAACATATCTGGCGATGAGTCATACAGTGCAGATTCATTCTTTCGTTAATTATTCCCACTTTTGAGGGCTGCCGTCAGCCCTCCCACTTTTCAACTTGGTCCCAGCCCATTGCTGGGACCCCACCACTATTTCCTTGTATGAGGACTAAAGTGGGCTTGAAAAAAAGCAGGGGCTGTACCTGATGTTTGGAGCCCCAGCCCCTCTTTTCCAGCTTTCTTAGGGGATTCCTTCACCTAAATACATTTCCTAGGGTCTTATCTGATTATCATTTTATGGAGTATACAGAATGGGGGACCTTTAATTTGAGATGGAGTTGAAGGGATATTGTCTTGTTGCAATATACAGACATTGCTGTCCATTATTTGCATTTATACTTGATACTTGATATTTTGCTTACAGGAAGAGCTCAGTGATGCAGTGGGATTTTCCAGAGTTATTCATGCCATTGCTAATTCTGTAAGTTAACCAACACATTGCTTTTTTTCATATATTTCTTTAGTTTTCAGCTGAGGCCTGGCCTGACATGAGTAATTAACACCTGGAGGGAAGTCTCATTACTTGGAAAATAGGATTAGAGAGGTAAATGGATCATCAGGCTGAAAAGAGAACTTTTGTACTAAATAAGATAAGTTAATAGGTCAGTAGGCTAAAAAAACAGAATGTCTGAGCCAGCTAAGGTAAGAGGGAGAACATCCAGGGAACCATTTACTAGCAATGGACAAGATTAATTAAGAATGCAGAGAAGAGGTCAAGATCAACAATGTATGGACAGAGCATGCAGCACAGGGATTGGTTTTTGCAAAATAATCAAGCCAATACAAAAATGTGATGTCATATATAGAAAGTGCAGTGAGATATATGAAGGGAGAGGGTTTCTGTGTATGTTCGGAGGTGTGATATACCCTGCATCCACCTCCCTGTTTTTGTTTGATAAGCTCAGTGTAGCTTTACTATATGGCAAATGAACTTTAGTGATGAAATCTGGAGTCGAACTGAGTTTTTTAGCTCCCAGAGAACTGGTTGAAGTGTTCTGGTTAAGCTGAGTGGAAAAGGTCTCAGGGAATCCCAATGTAGTTAACAGTAAAAAATTGATAATTCACTTAGAGTATGACTACTAAATTACTACTAAATTGTACAAATAAGCAAATACTAATGAAGTACGACTCAAATGTATGTAACTTTAGAGCCCCGCATGGATACAAAATGTATATTCTTGAATCTAAAGTGCATATTTGTGGAGCTGCTGTGTTCTTCCATGAACCACAACGGTGAAAGCAGCAGCATGTTGGGCCACCATATGGGAGTATGCAAGCTGCTCTCGCACACTAGTGAGACTGGGGCAGCTGCCAGTGAGCTTGGTGCCTGTCCCAATGGGCGGGGCTGGGGATGGTATATCCACCCCAGAGGAGCTGCGTGGGCGGGATGCTGGCTTCTGTGAGCAGCGGCCTGACATGCTGCTACTTTCGCTGCAGCGGTTCCTAGTAGAGCCTTGCAGCTCCGTGGATATCCGTATCCATGGATATAAATTTTGTATCCATGCAAGGCTCTACTTGATGTACATTATCAACTTTAATTAAGATTTTTTGTTATGGCAATGCTTTGATATGGAAGATAGGTGTAGTGTGTTCCTTTTAAAAAGTTTTTAGTAATAGGAAATTTTGCTACACCTCTGCATTAGATCTTTTAAACAGTGAATAATACCAATTTCTTATGGCAGTTAACAAGATTCTGAGTCATTTAATTTTTTTCAGAAAGGACATAGCTCTTGTTTTGGCTGTAACAACAAGGTAAAAAACATAACCACAGAAAGAAAAAAATCAACAGACTGATTATTTTCTACCTAAATATTCAAAATAGGATTTAAAGTGGTTTTGCTTTGCTCTTTAGAACAGGACTCATTGTTTTTGTACAGTGCTTGCCACAATAGCCCTCTCTCCTCTTCTTATTGGCACTACCAATGTACAGATAACAGATACTTGAACTGTAAAGAATATGCTTGTGATTCAGTATGGTAGTTTGAAGTTAAAATGTAATGAATTGAAAACTGAGTGAAACTGCACCAGAGCCTTTTCCGTAACCTATTTTGTATACAGTAGTTTGAAATGTCATTCACTCATATAATGGTCTCTTTCTTTAGGGCAAACTTGTTGTTGGACACAACATGCTACTGGATGTCATGCACACTATCCACCAGTTTTATTGTCCTCTGCCTGAAGTAAGTGGCCTTGTCAGTCTTCAGGTAATTTATAAAATGTATCCTGAAATTTGAAGTAATTCGTCTGAAATCTATTGTGGATGGAAGCTTACTAGGGTGTATTGAACAAACTGAAATAGAATAAAATGCTATTAGAAATCTGTGTGCTCTCTGGAGATACTGGCCCATAGTTCATTCAGTTTTCTTAAACTCTCTACTAGGGAGAGTTTGCAGTTTAGGGCTGAAATTAACTCCATCATCCATTTGGTAACCATATATCTTTGTATGAAGTGCCACAGGTAGATGCAAGGAGAGATGCAAAGGAGGGGAGTTTCCCACACCTAGCCGTTCTTTTTAGTTGGCAGATCTGGGGGACCCTCCTAGATTGAGGTGTCAGTAGAGGAGGTTTTGGAACAAACTGATAAATTCAACAGTAATTTGAAATCTCATGAGCAGATGGTAGTCACCCAAGAATTCTGAAGGAACTCAAACATGAAATTGCAGAACTGCTTACTTACTTATTGCTTAAATTAGTCTCTACCAGAAGACTGGTGGAGAGCAAATGTAATGCTGATTTAAAAAAAAAAAGGCTCAAGAAGCCATCCTGACAATTACAGGCCTGTAAGCCTAACTTCAGTACTACACAAATTGGTTGAAACTATAATAAAGAATAGAATGATCAGACGCATAGATGAACACAATATGTTGAAGAGTCAATGCGGCTTTTGAAGGGGACATCCTGCCTCACCAATCTATTCAAATTTTTTGAGGGTGTCAACTAGGGTGACCAGATAGCAAGTGTGAAAAATTGGGGTGGGAGTGGGGGTAATAGGCACCTATATAAGACAAAGCTCCAAATATCAGGACTGTTCCTACAAAATCGGGACATCTGGTCACCCTAGGGTCAACAAATGTAGACAAGGATCCAATGGATATAGTGTACTTGAACTTTTAGAAAGCCTTTGACAACGTCTCTCACCAAAGACGCTTAAGCAAAGTAAGCAGTCATGGGATAAGAGGAAAGGTCCTGTCATTGATCAGTAACTCATTAAAAGGTAGGAAACAAAAGGTAGAAATAAATGGTCAGATTTCACAGTGGAGAGACGTCAATAGTGGGATCCTCCAAGGATCGGTAATGGGATGAGTGCTGTTTAATATAGTCATCAATGATCTGGAAAAAGGGGTGAACAATGAGGTGGCAAAATTTGCAGCTGATACTAAACTACTCAAGACAGTTAAGTCATAAGCTGAGTGCAAAGAGTTAGAAAAGGATCTCACAAAATTGGTGACTGGGCAACAAAATGGCAGATGAAATGCAATGTTGATAAATGCGAAGTAATGCACATTGGAAAACATAATCCCAACTATACAATCAAAATGATGGGGTCTAAAGTAGCTGTTGCCACTCAAGGAAAAGATCTTGGAGTCAATGTGGATAGTTCTCTGAAAATATCTGCTCAATGTGGAGCAGCAGTTAAAGTGGTGAGGATTCAGGGTATTACTTGTATGTTGTTGAAACACGTAAGTTGAGTGCAAATAAAAGTCAACTCTAGTATGTGACTTTATGTACTATAGCATCTCTAACAGTATACTTCAATCACTTTTAAAAGCATTTGTCCTGAAAGCTTTAAAATGTCAACCAATGTATAATTGAGTATATGTCCTTTCTTATTGTCCTTGAGCCATTTTTAATTAAGAGATTTGAGTATAAAACTAATAACCTTTATGAAGTGACTGTAATTGAAAACCTAGTCTGACTAAAGATCTGTTACATTCATCACCTTTATCCTTTATAATCCCATATTGCTAAGTATTTACAGTGCAGGAAAGCTAATTGGAAATGGCAGTTTTCTATGGAGCATGAATAATGCTAAAGAGTATAATTGTTAAAGGGCAGAATTGTCTTCAGTGATCAGGAGTTGCAATGCTCTATGGCAGTTGAAAATTTAAGTTGTAGGAAATCCTAGTTTTCCTTTATCAGAAAGTGAACATAAAACTTGAAGTGAATTGTGTACTTGCAGCTCTTGGCCCTCAATGCTGCTTCAGTAATTGGGTAATTAGGTGCATTATATTATGGTTTATTTTTAAATTGCTTACTTTTTATATCTTAATAAGGCCTCTAGCATTAATGGAAGTGTTTTTACTTTCGTTTGCTGTATTTTAAAAAGAAAGTTCTCTTCTGTGATGTTATCTAGAAGCTGAGTTGTGATATGGAGATGACATTATGAAATCTAATGGCAGAAGTTGGGGGATAAAATCAAATTGGTTATAAGGATGGGAATTGCAGTACTGGAATATTGGAGGGGGAGGGTGTTCTGATTATTTAAGAAGTCCTAATCTACTAGCCTGGCCTAATTTTGTGCTAGGTGGGTAAGGGTACAGTACTAGTCTTTGAGGAAGCAAGAGATCTGGCTGGAAATGGATCACCTGTGTCTTGTACAAGCATCCTAAACTTTGGAGGCTTTTTGGGGTGAGGCTGCATGCGAGACTTGGCTATTAGATGTGGGGGAAGTGGGTTGGAGCCTGTTTGAACTATGTTGGCCCATAAGCAAATAGGGAGTCACTTGCTCAAGAAACCATCTTTAGACAGTGGTGTAACTTGGCCTTTTTAGTTACTAAAGCGCAGGTGAGGCTGCTGTCACTGCTTCTGAAGTCCTCAGATTTTGGCCAATATGGTTATTATGGTGTAGGCTGATTTTTCTTTACCTACTCCTACAAATGACCAGGCTTTGATGCTGTTGAGTCATTCAGAAGTTGTAACTTGCGCTTGCGTTAGCCCTATTTACCTGTGGAAATAGGGAGACCCAGAATCCAAGGCCATCATTAAGGCAATTTTGGCTTCTGTTGTGGACGAAGGTTGGCAGCTGAGAGAGAAGGGGCAGAGTGAGTTAGGACTTGTATTTGTGGTGGAGATTTTCAGGCACCGGGAAGAGTGAGTAATGACTGATATTCTTGGGATCATCCAGATCAGCCTCCCTTGTAACTTTGCGTGCCTTAATGCTGTGCTGCTATGACTCAGAGCCCTGACACTACCAGCCAGCCAGCCAGCCAACAAAGACTCACCCTGGCTTCTACCAGTTTAATTACTCCTTGCAGGGCGACTCCAACAGCCCTTCTGGTCCTGAGCCTCCCCAAATTTGTCTAACCTGAGTTCTAAAGCATGAGACACTGGGACTCTTCCCTTCTGATTCGTCACCCCCAAAAGTGTGGAAACAGCCCTCAGCCATCAGCACACTTTAGCAGAGACACTCATAGAATACCAGGGTTGGAAGGGACTTGAGGAGGTCATCTAGTCCAACCCCCTGCTCAAAGCAGGACCAATCCCCAATTTTTGCCCCAGATCCCTAAATGGCCCCCTCAAGGATTGAACTCATAACACTGGCCAATGCTCAAACCACTGAGATATCCCTCTCCCCTCCACACAGTTGGCACACCAGAGACCTGCTTGGGATAAAAATAAACAACATTTATTTAATAAAATAATCTCAGATTCAAAGATGAAATAGTAAGGAAAAAGCAAACAAGTTACAGAATATAAACATAAAGATGCAACTTCATGCTTTAACATTTCTATATTAAATAAATTCCTTTTTCTAATACAAACTTACCTATTGTCTTTGAACAGTTTCCCAGCTTGCCCCCTAGCCTTAGGTGATGAGATCCAGTGTTCGCAGGCAGCGCCCTCCACCCCTGCCCCTTCTGCTGTTGAAATTATCCCTCAGTTCAATGCTTTTCACTTCAAACCCCACCTTCCCTTTTAATACGGCTTGCAGTTTTTTCTCCCCTGACTATGGTAATTCATTGTTTCTCAGAGCAGGGAAAATTCCCTTGTGTCTTCCCATTAACTGTAATGGTTCATTATTTGTCTTTTCCTAGGTTGTACCGTGGATGGTTACTTGTCTGCTATGAGGTGTATTTGAAATTGTAGTAGATATCATGAGCATAGTATTCTATATACATATTTACGTAATCAGTCTGTATACATATTTCAAACCATCAAGTTCAGAACATTACAGGCTTTCATAAAAGACCTTACTCAACATATTTTTGTACACCGTAACATTGTATACAACCTATGGATTCAGTTGCTTACTCTGTGAGGTTCAGACCCACTGTTCTCTCCTTGGAGTGTTTAAGCCCTGATTGTCACAACCTCTTTGTGAATTTGATGGAGCTGTCTATTGGTGTCAGGGCTCTGAGCCATACCAGCATAGTATGAAGGCAACCCATGGCTTACTGGTCTGGGTGATCCCAAGAACATCACAGTGACTTCTCCCCTCCTGCCCCCTCATAAGGGTTTTAGCTGGGTTACTTTCCCCCTCCTCATTGGGCATAGAGTGGGGTTCTGGTATAAATCTCTGCTGCAGAGAATGGACTCTTTGCCTCTACTATCGGATTCACTGCCATTTCTGCGTGAATACAGAGGATTGGTTTTCTCAACCTTCCCCAGGTGACCATCTGTTCATATGCTTCATTGGCTCAAAGAGTTAGTGTTTAAGAGAATGAGTTGACATACACAAACCCATCCTAAGGAAGGGCCAATGACTTAACAAACATTTCACTAGTAAAATATCTCCTGAAAATGAACATTCAATTAATTCTCTACTATAAAATATATAAGAAATACTTACTAAATTCTTCAGTTTTCTGTAGTTGATTAGCTCTAATATCAGACAGAACATGGAGGCTGCCATCGTTAGTATGATAAATTGGGATGGGAAAAGCACTTGCTTCTAATGGAAAGTGGGGTTTGGGTTATACCAGACTTCTTCAGGTTAAAAGTTTCTGCTTATCTTCTGTAGCAGCCTTTTCAGTTATCTTTGCATAGCAAAATATTGGAGATGGGTGGCAGAAGGTTTAGATGAAAAAACAGTGATAAGTTGAAAGGTTATAATCCTATAAAAACTGAGTGTCAGCAGGCATTCAAAGAGAGTAATCAAGTACACTTCGATTTGAAATAGAAAAAAGTACAGCCGTTGGATCTTACTTTAGAAATCTTAGTGGATAAAAGGGTTGGAATCTCTTGATCAATATTTATTTCAGGGTAGTAGAATATCTTATGAGTTTTATACTTTTCGGGTTTGACAGTAACAAAACTTTGTTTTGAATTTTAGGACCTAAGCGAGTTTAAGGAGTTAGCGGCATGTGTCTTTCCCAGGTAGGCTCATCTTCAAATTACAAATGAGCAGTTTTTCACTGATATCAACTGTCAGTAAAGTGTATCCAGCTATCTTCTTGCTTAAATTAAGCATAAAATTATGGTTGTGACTCATATCACAATATGTAGTGATTTAGGAACAATTTAGTTTAAAAATAATCTTAATGTCTGCATTTTAATTCATATTTATGACATTGCTGATTGCATCGCCCATGTCAGAATACTTCTTAGCCAAAGAGAAGCCTTTACAAGTTGTCTTCTCTTTGTATGAAAATTGTTGTGAACCCTGATTGAATCGGGACCAGTGTTCATTTGCTATTAATGTTACTAGCTTCACCTTTTTAGTCTGTTGACTTTTTCTAGTGGACATAGCTCAGTTCTAATGCTCCCTAAAGATCTGTGTTAATGACTTTCAGCATCTTAATGTTGTTGTTTATCCCTGAATAAAACAAAATATCCTTGAATGTTTGGCAAAATTTTTTATAAAAACAAAACAATTCATTCTTACCTCTTAAATTTCATTTTTAGACTATTGGATACTAAACTGATGGCAAGTACGCAACCTTTTAAGGTAACTTACAAATGTAAATAACTATAGTCTAATCTTTTTTGTGAGTTTTAAATGAGTACTGAAATATAAGTAATATTTTGATAGAGGACAACGGATAATAGAATGTTTCATTTATAAATACTATCTCTGTTGTAGCAGGATGACTTCATACTGTTGTAAAAAACTTTTTCATCTAACCCTTCTAAAACTACAGTAAATGAGCTTTAAAATAACAAATTATGATACTTTTTAAATTCCATTCTTCCATGGTAAAAACTCTACTAAATGCCTGGTCTTGAGCAGTTAGCTTTAGGTTCTGGACAAATGTAAAGTTCTTAATTAACTCTGCCAAAACTAATCTTCTAGGATTTCTACTGTGAGTTAATACAAGAAAATGTCTTATGAACTCTCCATCATGATTTTCCTTGAACTCTGGGGGCCCCATTCCTGCAGTCCTTACTTGGGTAACTATCCTCTCAATCAACAGGATTTTTGCCTGAGCAGGACTCTGGGTTTTCGAGTCCGAGGTGCATCATTTTTGTGTTTAGACTAATTTGACTGTTCAAATATCGTTTTAAAAATCTCTCGTTAAAATTTCAGTTGAACTGAGTATTCGGTAAAGTTCAATTTAATACTGTGTTGTACCACAGTTGCTGGATTTTATATCCATGATAATACTAAACTATTGATTTGAATGTAGGATTTCATCATGGCCACATTCTATCTGTATAGTAAAATACAATTTTTTAGGCATAGCTGTAAGAATTGATTTCCGTGTTGTATATACACAAAATAGGCGAACTAACCCTTCTTGTGTGTGTATACGCACACTAGGATAACAATTCAATATGTTGCATAAATGGAACAATATTTGTAGGACCAATATCTTAAAGGTAGCCTTAAATTTCTAGGCACACATTCGCTTGCAGTATATGTGGTCTATTCAAGAACAATATGGGGCACTAAAGGAAAAAGCTATTTAATTCATAATTATGAATAAATACTTCTTTTTAAAGAAATATGGGCAGTTAGCTATATTTTTGTCCTGTTCTAAGTTGGCTGCAAATCTTAACTTCTGCATATGTTACGTATTGACTTGATGTCCTCTAAATTCGAAAAGCATATTGCTTTTACTGTTTAAATTGTGGTCTTAATTAAAGAGACTAGTAGAATGGTTTTGCTTTGTGAATAACAGTTGTTGCATCCTGAATTGTCTTTCTTCTTGTGGACCTATTCTTCAGGGGTGAAAGTAACTTAAATAAGTTACCACTATGCAGGGCGGCCAGGGTCCTGGGCAAGGTTGGGTGAGGGATGGCTCTGGGTCCCCAGAAGGGGCGGAGGCTCGGGCAGAGGGGGCGGGGCTGGAGCCAAAATCCCCCAGCCAGCCTTTCCGCACTGCCCAGCTGGCGCCACCCTGGGCTCCGGCAGTGATTTAAAGGGCTCTGGGCTTCGGCTGCTGACATGGTAGAAGCAGCGGCAGCTGAGAGCCCTGGGCCCTTTAAATGGCCGCTGGAACCCTTTTAAATTGCCAGGCCCTGGAATAGCAGCCCCTTTTGCTTACCCCATCAACGGCCCTACCGGTACGGTCGGCAGTTTCTTGCCAGTACGCCGGACCGGACCAGCTTACTTTCACCTCTGCTCTTCTCACATTCATGCCAGCAAATATTAGGTCCTTCAAGTTGCTTGCTTATCTGGATACTAAAGCCCTAGAGTTTTGCAAACACTCCATCTTTTTAGAAGTTTCCAACTGGAAGGAAATGTCGCTTGCATGTACTTACGTTCTTCTGCGGCACATATATACTCCTTGCATACTGGGAGCAGTCTGCGTGAACGCTTCCTAAAGCTGGCATATCAATTAGAGAAATGAATGGCCAGGCTAGTGATCATTCTGCAAAACTTTCCTGTGTCCCAGGACTGGGTGAATTCTAAAGCCGAAAGGTGACCTGATGAAGCCAGGGCCTCTAGCGGAGTAAACTGTCAGTCTATTTCTGTTGCTTGGATACCCCATTAAGCAGCGGTACATCTTGTTGTATATTCTTTACTAGGTGTGTCTGGTTAAAAAAAAATCTCACCGGCACAAGTACCAATTTTTTTGGTCAGTTACATCCTTTCTGGGTAAAATGTGCTCAGTTCTAATTCCGTAACCTGCTGTAAACCTTGGTTTTTGTAAGTTGCTGTTTGTGCTCTTTTTTCAGCAGGAGGCCAGATTTTAGATAAGGATTGTGCCTCAGTATTGATTTTGCTGTTTTGTTCTAGGGTTCCCAGAGCCTAAAATGCTTTTGATAGAAATAGTGTAATTGTAACAATTACTTGCATGTAACATTAAACTTGAGTCGGAACACACTGTTCATTCCAGAACTTTAGAATTTGGAACTGGATTGTGTATAGCTCTGTAGAGAACACAGGCTGGCAGTATTAAATCCCAAATGTTACCTCTAATCCATACAATCTCAATATATGGGAAAATGCATTTGGCATTGATGTTCTCACATACTGTGCCTTCTTATGCTTTTAGGAAATTATTAACAACACATCCCTTGCAGAACTGGAAAAGCGTTTAAAAGAGATTCCATTCAACCCTCCTGAAGTTGGTAAGGATGCATAAAAGCATTTGCCCCATGCTCCTAAATTATGTGCTAGGTTTCGTCTTTCGCAGAAAAAATTGATATGCTAATTGCTTGGTTTGGGATGTGAAATGGTCTATTTCTAAATTAAATGGTGTTTAAACTCCATTTAATATTGGCAGTGGGTTACATATATGCAATACTATTTGTGATCATTATTCTTAGTGGTTTTAGGCATTATACTTCAGCTTTATTTTGAGTGAAGTAGAATAGTAATTCTTGAATGAACAGCTGTTCTGTCACTGTAGTGATGGCGTTTGTTCTGTAGCTTAGGTTTCGGTGAATAATTTCTGCTCGTCTCAAATTAAGCCCAGGTGTAAGTACTTTACTCTAAAAGCTCTTATTTAATTAATTACCAGTAGTACTTAGTTGGACTCTTTGAAAGAATACAGTAGTAACTAGATCCCATACTAATGGTTAGAATGTAATTAAGTACTGTGGAGCTGTATCACTTTTTCTAAGGCGGTGGCATGAAAGAAGGGATGTTAAATGATCGGAAGGGATAGACTGTTTTTAACATTCTGGAATGGAGTTCATGAACTGCTGATATAAAAAGGGAAAAACCATTGGGCGGCGTAAGATGTTGAAAGGCAGGTGGAGAGGGTCTCTTGTCTTAAGCAATATAGATGTTTGAATTACTCCGTTTAGCATTCTAAATATGCAGAGCAAATGCACATAGTTTATTAAACTTGGGTGGCTTCAAGAAAGGAAATAGTAATCCAGAGGCTTTCTGACTTTTTCTTCTGTAATAATTCTATTAGCCAACAAGCAGGAGGTGTTGGTGCACACAGCATAGTTTCCTGCTTCCACATATGTACTTTTCACAATGTATTCACTGTAGCCCAGTAGTTCTCAAACTTTTTTGTACTGGTGACCCCTTTAACATAGGAAGCCTATGAGTGTAACCCACCCCCCAATGTATAAATTAAAAACACTGTTTTATATATTTAGCACCATTATAAATGTTGGAGGCAAAGCGGGGTTTAGGGTGGAGACTAACAGCTCATGACCCCCCATGTAATTCCCTCGTGACCCGCTGAGGGGTCCCAACCCCCAGTTTGAGAACTACTGCTGTAACTTCTTCCAACTTGGGGATGGGACAACTTGGCCTCTCCCTGGTGAGCTCTTTTAGTTGATGTAGTACCAAATGATTGTATGAAATCATATTAATTTTGCTACTAGTTGGGTTCTGCATCAAAATTTGGTGGATATGTTAACATTAATCACTTGTATGAATGACTACTGTAAAGTTTGATATTGCGATAGACGTGGGTCAGAACTTTCAAGGCAAAGACGGTTTAAAGTTATTGAAATACTTCTGTCGATTGTTAGATTTGTGGAGAAATGTGTGGGTATGCATTGTGGCGTTAAAAGGATAACCTGTTTGAGCTGAGTTTAAATCAAGTTACCTGAACCTATTGGTTAGGTAGTATTAACATTTTTTCTTAAAAATATATTCTGTTTTTGACTGAAACATTGGCATGCTTATGGTGCTGTATAACTTTTTTGTAGGTTTTTAAACTTAAATATGCTAAGAATTTTGAGTCATGGTTAGGTGCTGGAAAAATACTAGATAAGGTAGTTAGTCAGCTTATTTTGTTACATATAGGCTTCCTTAACATATGGCTAAAATACTATATTATGACACCTATTTATGTCCCTATTGTAAATATTGGGGTGTACTTCATAGCTATATTCATTCATCATTTTTGCTGCGGAAAAGACTCCTTAATTGTAATAAAGTGGATATAACTAGGCTTGACTTCCATTTCCACTGTGTGTACTTAAGTTTGATTGATTTAAGCACTGTTTCTCTCCTTCTAGTCCCGTTTCCCCTCCAAAAAAATTGGTTGAACTGTTCAGATGTCTCTCTACAGACTGGGAAATTAAGTATGAAAGGCTACACAATGCTAATGTTGGGGGCTTGTGGAGTGGGAGATAATTGACTGTCGATGGGACTTAGGCTTTCTAAGCATTTTAGGGGTAAACTTTTAAAGTATTTAGGTGCTTAAAAATGCAGTTAGGTATTTAGTGGGATTTTCAGAATGCCACAAGGTACTTATTTGCATATATAGGCATTTAAGAATCTTTAAAAAATGTGGCCCTAAGTCACCTTTGGAAATGGGATTTAGATGCTGAAGTCACTTAAGCACTGTTGAAAAATATTAGTCTGTTTGCTACCACTGGAGTAACAATTACATGCTGTATGTCATGTGTTGCAGAAGAGTCAGAAGAAATAAGATGATGACTAATCCTGTTCCCATTGTTTCAATAAAAAGAAAAGGAGTACTTGTGGCACCTTAGAGACTAACCAATTTATTTGAGCATAAGCTTTCGTGAGCTACAGCTCACTTCATCGGATGCTTATGCTCAAATAAATTGGTTAGTCTCTAAGGTACCACAAGTACTCCTTTTCTTTTTGCGAATACAGACTAACACGGCTGTTACTCTGAAACCTGTCATTGTTTCAATGGAAGTTTGGCTGCTAAAGTGGCAGTATGATCCAGAATATCTCTGGATGAGAAGGGCTATGAGAGTCTAGTGGTACAATTTTTGACTCAGTGGGAATAGGAATGGTTCCTAGAAGCCTTCTTCTGTCAGTGAAGCTTTAAATTGCTTGTAATTTGTAAAAGTTACTAGAATTATCCATAGTGCGTTATGCACTTGCAGCAAATGTGAGTTTCTGGTTAAATATAACTTCCACTTACATGATACCCTTAGGTAAACATGACTTTTCCTTCTTCAGAAAGTGCAGAAGGGTTTCCAAGTTATGACACAGCTTCTGAACAACTTCATGAAGCAGGCTATGATGCTTACATAACAGGACTGTGTTTCATCTCCATGGCTAACTACCTAGGTACTATATATTTTTTTCCCAAAAAAACTATTCCTCTACTCTCTGTTTCAATGCATATGTTATGCTGAATTTCTTCTTTGTTTATTAGGTTCATTTCTCAGTCCTCCGAAAAATCATGTATCTGCTAGATCAAAACTCATTGAACCCTTTTTTAACAAGTAAGTAAATCACTGTACATTACAAAACCTGCTATAATCTGAAGGTGGAGCTGAAAACTCTCTACCGTCAGTTTAAACTAATCACTTGTATTTTACTGTTTTACATTTAAAATTCCCTAGTGGCCTATCTTATTCGTATTAAGAATTTAATGAAGTGTTGGTATTGGGAGGTAAAAACTCCCATATATTCATTAAGTATTGCTTCTGAGCAGGGAGATGCCTGCCAACTTGCTTAAGAGAGCATGGAAGGGATTATGTTAAAATTGTGGCTCTAGCTTCATTGTTCTTCTTGGTATTGAGATCTATACTTTTGTCAGTTAGCAAATGTTTGCATAGTTCTAAGGAATAATCAAAGTGAGAAAAATAACTCTGATTTAAATGTTTCTATAGTTCGTAAGGCAAGGATAGGTTTTGGAGATTTAGTGTGAGCAATAAAGCTTGTTGCTGCACTGATTTAAAAAAAAAAAAGAAAGATAGATGTAGCCTAGAAGTATGTCCAAAGGATCCAGAGTGGTATTTTTGATACAGCTTTTGCTTTACCTGGACCAAAATCTAATATCTGTGACATATTTAAAATATCAGGCAATAAACTTTTAAAGAAATTACATTGATTTTTCAGAATAAATTCATGGGATCTTAAATTCACAGCATCTTTTATTGCTGGATTAGATATTCATGAAGATCTTAAAGATTTAATTGAGAATTTTAGAAATCTAAAGGTTTTTTTTGTGCATGTTTCTGATGCTTTGCTTATTCATAGTCTTTCCTTGTCATGCTTCTGGTGGTAGAATAATCTTGCATGATGGCATGTGAACACAGTAAGGTTATGATGGGGAATCTCTTGACAGAGGTTTAGTGACAGTTGTAAACTGAAGACTACCACATTTTGGAAAGAAATAGCCAAATCTGCAAACTGTCACCTTATTGGAGATAATACTGAAGGCATGTTGAGCTAGAGTCACAAAGAAACTTAGGGGCATCACCACTCCTGATTTTTTGGCACTTACAAAATCACTGAGATTCACAAAGCTTGAGTTAGGCATTGAGGTGCCCTATACAGTGAGGAGACAGGGGGGAGAGCCTCCTGAGAGTGGGTTTCACAAAAGGCAGCATGCTGGCGGCTCCTTGCCTAAGCTAGCCAATGGGAGATGCCAGATGAGGTTTGCATCCTACATCCTAGAGACTAACAATTTATTTGGGCATAAGCTTTCGTGGGCTAGAACCCACTTCATCAAATTAGGCCTGAATAAAGTCTGGGAGTGGTTGGGTCATTACAAAACCTAAACCTAATTTCCCCCCTACTAATTTCCCCCCTACTGTTACTCACACCTTTTTGTCAACTGTTTGAAGTGGGCCACTCTCATTACCACTACAAAAGTTATTTTTCCTCCCTTGGTATTCTGCTATTAATTGAACTGTCTCGTTAGACTGACCTCACACTTGGTAAAGCAACTCCCATCTTTTCATGTATTTATACTTGCTCCTGTATTTTCCTCTCCATGCATCTGATGAAGTGGGTTCTAGCCCATGAAAGCTTATGTCCAAATGAATTTGTTAGTCTCTAAGGTGCCACAAGGACTCCGTGTTTTTGCTGATACAGATTAACACAGCTACCACTCTGAATCCTACACCCTGTACCTCTGAGATAGGCATGCCTAAATTCGGGCCACAGGGAGGTGCTTTCCTATATTGGGATTCTCAGCTGCACATCTTTGCTTGACATTAGGCACCTATGCCTTTCTATCAAGAAACTGAAAGGAAGGGGAAGGAGGAGGACTCCCTCAAACTTTTAGTCCAGTGCTTAGGATACTCACTGGGGATATGGGAGACCTCTGGTTCATGCCCCTCCCACCACCTGAGGGGAAGAAGGGATTTGAACAGGGATATGACACTTTTCATGTAAGTAAATAATCACTGGGCAATAGGATATTGTGATGTGTTGGGCTCCCTTTGCAGGTGTTCCACTGTGAATAAATAATGAAAGTGTCATTGGGAGCAAGAATAAGTCATTCAGTGGCCTGGTGGTTAGAGCACTCATCTGGGAGGTAGGAGACCTGCTCCAATGGCTTTACTTGTCCACAATAGAACAGCTTCATCAGGAAGGACAGAAGGAGCCCCACACCAGAATATCCTACAGCTGAACGGTTAGGATGCTCATCAGAGAGGTGGCATATCCCTTTTGAAATCTCTTCTCCCCCTCAGTTAGAGGGTTGAGGGGGTTGGCAGGGCTTGAATCAGGGCTCTCCCACATCCAAGGTGAGTACCTGAACCACTGGGCTAAAGGTTATCCCATCCCAGCCGTTTTTGTGTAAGCTTGCCTATCGGGTTCTGATCTGCTAGGCAAGGTTTGCATGCTTACCAGATCAGCCCCGTAGGCAAATTAGGAGGAACCCCTCTTTTCTCCTGACTTGTGAATGGCTCTGGAACTCATGCATCTGGATGCCTGGCATGGGGCTGCATTGTGTATGTTCAGAGGCAGAAACAGAGACACCTAGAACTTTTACAGAAAAAAATTTGGGTGCTTGCAGAGTTTAGGTGCCTGCAGGATTTGGCAACAGCTGAGTGATGGTTTTGTGAATCCCAGTAGTTGCCCGAAGTGGCAGTTGCTTAAGTCCTTTTGTGACGCTAGCCCATTTAAGTAGACTTTTGAAATTCACCTTATCAGTTCTCTACCATTTCAAAAGGGCCATTTTATCTGATCATCTTGTAAGTTCTTCCATTATCTATGATATACTAGTGACAGAAAAGTGCAGATTAGTGATCAACTAGAATTCAACACCACTCTTATTGCATACGTTCAGTTGAGTAAATGAGAGCTGGCTGCAGCATTGATCAGTCTAGTCTCACTTAATCCTGTGATACATCTCACTCTAAAGTTATAGTTTGGGAAGTTATTCAATACATGACATGAACACGTTCATTCACTGACTCCCAGTAGCTGTAGATTAAAATACATTTTTTACCGAAAGTCCAAGAGTATCATTATATCTTTATAATATACTGAAACTGATTAAAAATGTATAGGTCTTGTTAGACTTGGTGATCTCTGCAGCAAATATATATGGATTGAGAGAATTCCAAGTCAGTAATATATGAAATTTAAACACTTAAAACTAAAATATCCTTATCAAAGAGGTTTTGTAGAGTCTTCTAAAGAAACTACAAATCTAAAATTTCCAAAATACTGGGCTGCAAGCAACCATGCTGATGAATTTTTGTTAGATTGAGAACCAATATTAATAGTAAATTTATTTTTCTGTTTGTTGTGACATTTTCCAGATATTAAAGAATTTCAGTTTTTAGGAAATCTAGGATAGAGCATGTAAATATTGTGTATAGTTACTCTAGTAGTTAGAGTGGGATTGGAGGAGCTGGGTTATTGGCTCCACCACTGACTTGTCTCAGTTTCCTATCTGTAAAATAGGAATACTTTGTGAACCTATCACATAGGGATGTTGAAGCACTTTAACACACTCTTCCCAGTACTAAGAGTTATCACTTCTATAGCAGTTTTAATTCAAAGATCTTAAAGATGGCTTCCTCCAAATGCAAAAAGGACTATACTACATAAAGATGTATAGGGAGGACGTTATTTCTCCTTTTGACTTCCTGCATTAGCTACTGACTGTAAATGCTTAACAGGAAAAGTTTGAGTTCTAATAAAGTTAAAATAAACAAATTTTGAGTTAATGTAGTGAAAACATGTTTCTGTTTACACATGATTACATAAATCTAGTTAATTCAGCACAGGCAGCACTTACTTATTTCATAGGATAAGGTGACACTCTTACATGGCTATTTGTCTGTTTGCAGAAGTTTCAAACCGACAAAAGAGGTAATCTCAAATCATGGATAAAGACACTGACTCTGTATTCCTAATCTCTGCAGATAAGTGAAAATACAGATGTAGCAGATCACATTTGTTGCACCACATTCCCATTGATATAACTTAGTTTTAAATGCAAGTGCAAATATTGATTATATTAACTAATGCTGTGTTTTGAAATGCCTCATTTAAAGAAATATTACTGCAACTATCTCAATTCTAAGATCAGTGCTTTTTTACAAAGAAGCAGATCTCTGATCTTGATAAATTCCTAGGGTATACATAATTTTTGGTTTCAGAGGAACAGCCGTGTTAGTCTGTATTTGCAAAAAGAAAAGGAGTACTTGTGGCACCTTAGAGACTAACCAATTTATTTGAGCATGAGCTTTCGTGAGCTACAGCTCACTTCATTAGATGTATACCGTGGAAACTGCAGCAGACTTTATATACACACAGAGAATATGAAACAATACCTCCTCCCACCCCACTGTCCTGCTGGTAATAGCTTATCTAAAGTGATCAACAGGTGGGCCATTTCCAGCACAAATCCAGGTTTTCTCACCCTCCACCCCCCCACACAAATTCACTCTCCTGCTGGTGCTAGCCCATCCAACCAATAATTTTTGGTGCCTGTCTATTCTTGCTGTCAGCCACAATTTGTTTTCCTAAACATGCTTTTAAAGTGAACTTATGGGAGGATAGCCTTAATATTAAATACCCATTGGTAGTATTCTAGCTAAACTTTTTTCTCCAGCATTTTAGTAAACTAGCATCTGCGACAATTAGCGTAATGATGACAACAAGCTTAATTACTACTAAGGATAAACAAATGAATTGGATAACCCTTAGGTAGCTGTTGCTCAGACAACTTGTGTAAGAGTTTTCTCCAGTGTTTGCCATCTCAGAGAAGCTGCTTTTCTTTAACACTTGGTGTTCTGCACTTCTAATGGAAGCCTGAACGTTTTTTGAGAACACTTCACTTTTATTGAGTTACCAATTTTGAACTCAATTACATATTATGATGGCTTAAAAGCTTTGAAATTGGTTAAGAGCAGATGCAATTTAGCTTTGTTCAGTTACTCTTCAAATCTAGTAAATATGGTTGGTTCTTTTGTTGTGAAGGGCAAAAAATTATAGCAGCACTCCTGAGTGTTTTCTCCTTGTACATAATGTG